ACAAGCACTCTTTTGTATTTGAGCTCCCAAAGACGGTACACTGATTTGATTGTTGTTGATGCAGGTGCAAAAATCATGACCTGAAAATGGATATTTTGGAATTACTCTGTTTATTTTGAGTAGGGTTTTTTTTTTTTTTTTTTTTTTTTTTTTTTTTTTTAAGCTACAGGTTTTCAAGTTGAGTGAAACCTTGCATTATATTGAAATCTGTTTTGTCTTGTTTTCCTAGAGCACCTGTGCTGGTGGCTTTAGCCCTAATTGAGAGTGGAATGAAGTATGAAGATGCGGTCCAGTTTATAAGACAGTAAGTACCTTGGATCATTTGTCCTTGATCATTACTTCTGACATTCTAACTTCTGCTTTAAGGTTGGATACACTACACAACTTTTTAAATATCTGAACCCATTTTTAAACACTAGGCATCATACATTTGACCACTTTGTAAATGGTTACAGAAAAAACTGAGCATCATACACTGAACAACGGAGGATCAGACACTACCAGACTTTCCGAAGTCATTCCGAACACAAACTTGCACAGAAACATGCTCCTTATTGCTAGGAGACGCATGACAGATGGAAACAATATATTCTTAAAACTGACCAAACAAGTTTGATATCCTTTGACTGGATGGAGTCAAATGCCCCTTTCACACATTCAGTGTTTATTGGTAAGTTATAGGCTAATTACCGTTTAGAGATCATGGGCTTTTCCCTCCACAGACACATGTCGGTTAACTAAGAAATACACTTGCGCTCCCCGGGGCGGTTCAGCGCAAAGAGGCGGCGTGTTCCGGCGCAAACTTTCCCTCATGCTATTTTGCTGTTCTATAAAACAATTGCGCCACTGACCAGAAAAAACCTGGTCTAAAGTCAGTTGCGCGTTGTTCATAATGCTATTTTAAGCGCGCATGCTTGGCCATAATGTAGCGGGTGCACAACGCGCATACACTTTGATTCTCTCATCAACACAGATGCAGCAGTTTTTATTTTTGCAAATCATACATTATAACAAGGAAAAATATTAACACATGAGGGAAGTTTTTTTTTTTTTTTTTTTTTCCTCCCACGCCTGTTTAACCGACGCTGATTTGGGTGGGTTTCTCCCATCCCCATACAACGTCACTTCTCTGTCTTTCACGGTCCTGACGAGAACGTCTGTCTCCTCGGCTGTTAACCGCTCCTGGCGCGCGCCTGGTAAATCCGCCGTTATAATAGCAATCCGCCATGCAACATGCGCACCTGCTCTTAAAGGGAATGTGAGATGACGCTCTGATTGGTTTATTTCACGTTACGCCCAAACCACACCTATGAATAATGAAGCTACTTCAGACCAACCCCTTTTAGATTTGCGTCAGGCGCAAGAGGCATTTATCCCGCCGGGGAAATAGCAACAGCGCCGGGATCCGCCCACAAAGTTACTTGCGCTTTGCCACTTGCGTTTCAGATCGTTAAAATAGGGCCCCATGTGTGAACAGGAACTTTAAAAAAAATTACAGTTAATCAGTTAGTTCGAACATCACCAGTGAATTACCGGTATGATACTATGTGAGAACAAAGAATATGATTACCGGCATGATGCGTACGAGGGCAGGACATGCTGACCTAAGAAGTTTGCTTTGGGCCAATCATAAAGCCCTGTCGGATCTGTTTACAGAAAGCTCTGCTGCTTTAAATTGTTTTTCTCTGTGAACATGCTCTCTAGACTGACATCTGACCATTGTGCCGAGTCTTATGCTCAAAGCTATGCCTTTTTTTCCAATCATCAGTCTTGTCGTGAACAGCACATTTGTGTTATTACCAGAATAGTCAATCTGGTAATTCATGTGTCAAAGTCTGAAGTTTAAAAATCTGAGCCTATGCCCATCATGCATCTGTCAACTCTTACCGTCTATCTGCAGACTTGCTCTGACTTTTGGCATCTAGCGAAACTAGGAGGACATTATTTGGGTAAAAGTTGTGTATTCCAGCCTTTAGTAGATTTTAAACTGCACTCTCATGTTAATTTTTTTTATTTATTTTTTAGGAAGAGACGTGGAGCCTTCAACTCCAAACAGCTTCTTTACCTTGAAAAATACAGACCCAAGATGCGTCTGCGGTTCAAGGATGCCAACGGTCACAACTGCTGTATCCAGTAGTGTGTCATTCTGTCAGTCATACAAAACAACAGTGGGAATTTCAACCAGGGTAGAGGGGGAGCAAAAGCTGTGGGTTATAATTGTGGTGATTTTTTTTTTAATCAAATAAATCATGGCTAATCGATCACAGAGATGTAATGAATGAACGCTGATCTATGGATTCACCAGCAGTATCAATGCGAAGGGTCAAAGCACACAGATCAGCCCGTAAACCTGGTTGGTTAACCAGCGTTAACAGTCACGGGCAAGAATATACACAAGTTCCCCTGATTTCCCAAATTTACAATCATGGGATGACTTTTTATTTTGTGTTATTTCCGAATGAGTACTTCGAACCAAGATTTACAATTGTAAAATGCTGTCATTGTTGATTTTTATTAAGACTTATATTGTTGGGCATGTTCTTTTTTTTTTTCTCTTTTTTTTTTAGCATTTCCACAGACAATAGCCAATTTTGTTACAGAAACAACTTAAGTAGGCATATGATATTTTTTCACAAAACAAAATTAAGAAGTTCCTTTCCAATGCAGCAATTACCCCCTTGAAATCACTTTTAATTTAGGGTTAGCCTAGGTTTTAAATGTCAGCTGTATTTATTCACAATAATTTGTGTCTTGTCAGGAGTGTGGGTGGGGTTAGGACACTTCTTTCTTTCATGGAGCCATGTTTTTTTCTCTTGTTTTTGTAATCTATGGGGAGTGCAATATTCTGTCCAGTTTAGAAAAGCCCTCACCCTTAGGACCGTCCTACATCCAAATTCAAATACAGGAGGACACTTGGCTTGTCTTAGGTACTCACTTTCTATAGCTGCTCTTCGCTGGCTGGTCAGTAAAAGCTTTACCGTTGACCTTGTTGTGACACGCACACATAATGTGTACACTTAATCTGTCACTCTACTGTTCAGCCCTCAGACACTGAAGGAAGTGAGAGGCGTGAGACTGGTCAGCTCTGAGTTTATTTTATTTTTAATCATTGTGCCCATTTTGAAAACACCCCCACTTCATCTTGGTTTTAAGACAAATAAATGAATTGAAATTGAGTCTGGCCTATTTTCATTGTGTGTTCCTTCCTGTAATATGTTAGCTATTTACTCTTCTTGGTGGATGAGTCACTACATGATGACTGATTTTTACAGCCACCGTCAAGATAACATCCGAAATTATGGCGGAAGATAATGTGAAAAGTAATTGGGTGAAAATGACGTGCTGTCACCTGCAACTGAAAGAAATAACAATCGTGTGATTTCTACTCTATAGCTATATTCAAACAGCAAATGACCCAGAATGTTGGACTTTGAATAGTCAAACCAAATGTGACTCATTTGACTCCATGAGGCTTTTCCACACCAGGATTTCTGTCCAGAAAGTTCCTGGCTGATCAGTGACTCGTGTACTTAAAGGAAACAGCTCCCCTATGTGACATTTCTAATGTGATGAGTGATAGTGCAGATGGAAGATGACTAAACTCTTGAAATATTTAAGTCAGTCACATGGTAGAAATCCACAGGAAGTTGGGAAATGACCTATTTACTTCCATCTCTACACCTGCTGACATAATCCACTGGAGTCTGTAATATAAAGAGTCAGATGTGCGACTAATTGTTTATCATTTTAAGTCCATTTCTAATGCATATGCTTCTTAAAGGGATTGTTCACCAAAAAATGAAATGAAAATTGTCATAATTTTCCTCGCCCTCAAGTTGTTCCAAACCTGTATGAATTTCTTATTTCTGCTGAACACAAAAGACCTAACAGTTAATGGGACCACGTTGACCTCCATAATATGGAGGGGGGGGAAATACTATGGAAGTCAATGGGACCAGAAGCTGTTAGGTTATTTAGTGTTTATCATATCATCTTTTGTGTTCAGCAGAAGAAAGAAATTCATACAGGTTTGGAACAACTTAAGGGTGAGTAAATGGTGACTGAATTTTCACCTTGGGTGAACTATCGCTTTAAATGACTTTAGTACAAAGATGGAAGTCAGATTTTCCAGATTGCACAAGTCTGGGCTGGTTTGTCTTTATCTGCAGTGCCATCTGCTGGATCGGCTCGTGTGCTGGGATCTGGACAGTTGAGTTTGGGGATTAGACCAGTTAGAATTGCATTTATTGTCTGCCGACTGATTTTGTATTATTGTTAATTTTGAATAATACTATTCAGAGAGTAACATTAGATGGACCACATAATTTAACTCTAGGATCTTAAGATATAAGATCTACTACCTTGCATAAGTCAGTTTATGTTGATAAATTGGATGTAAATCAAGACTGAACTGAAAGCACTGAGCTCTGCGAATTTACCCTTGGGGGAAAAAAAGAAAATATATATTTTTTAAATGTTTTAATTTTAATTTAACATTAAAATGTAATTTTATAACATAAGATGAAAAGGGTTCGCAAATTCGATAGTGTAGGCTGTCTTGCGTTAATAAATTTGGATATGCTTTTAAAAGGTTAATGGTTTTTTATGATACAACATATTGTATGAGATGTCTTGAAAAATGTATAAACTGTTTTCCTTCATTGTTATGACAATGATATAGTGTACATTACTCCAACTAGTGGTACATATAACATAAAGGTAACAATTTATGGTAAATTAAAATAGCCCTACATGCCACTAAACAGCGCTATTACATTGTCAACAAGCTAAAAAAAACATAATTTGTATTAAATTAATCCAGCTGTGGTGCAGGTTCGATGATTTTAAATGGGAGCTTGCTGTTTTGTCGAGTCTAGGCTGGTGTCACTCGCTAGGCGTTATTTTTAGGTGGGCGTGGCTGCGTTAACTGACTGGACTCTCATTGGTTCAGCTCGCGTTCAGTGACGTGTTCGCGACCGTTGAGATGGCTCTGGCAACACCGAAGTGAGCAAGCGCTAAATTCAAAATTTTCAAACAGCTGAGGAGCGCGTGTCTTGTAGAGAAAGCGGAGAGACTTTTACTCCCTCACCAGACAAATAAAGAAGAAAAACATAAAGGATTGTGTTTTAATTTAAGCTTGTTGTAGCATATATTAGGATGGACCCATTCACTGAGGTGAGTGTCTTTTGTGACAGCTGATTTGATCGTTAGATGATTAGGGAGGGTGTAGATATAAAATAGCTCGCCTCTAGTTGAAATCAACTGCATTTACTTTTATTTAGCAATAAAGTTCTCTCTTTTGTCGTTACTTATTATTTTATTAACTAATTAAATTACGTATTAATTGGCCTATAATTTCTTGTTTGGCTCTTTTGTTTACGTTGAAACGTTTGTGTAAAGCTAGGTTAATGCTTGTCTACTTGGTCATAATCTAGCATATAATAAACATTACCTTTGCGTTACTTGCTTGCAATACAATTTAAACAAACTGTTGGTAAAAAAAATGCTTTTTTTGTCAGACTTGCCTCTGCATTTTACTTTTATAATGTCTGACTTTAAATCACTTAACATCCTAACGTTACACGTCTTGTTGGTTTGCCTAATTTGTTTTTGTATATTTTCTTCTAAGCCGATGTTAACTGACTGTAAATGTGATAAGTTACCTATTGTTTTTTTAAACATTTTCGTATCAAAATGCTAAGCAGGCTCTGAACAAGGACTCTGCTTTCAGTCTTTATGATATTTACATTTAATATCTGTCTGCACTTAACGTTAAATATCATGCATTCGAATATACAATGTTTTTGAATAAGGAAAAAAAATTAGCTGTCAGGGCTGTGGCCATAACTTGCGGCTGGTTGAATACAGGAAGCCTGGTTTGACCAATAGGATTCATCTGCTGGTCACATGACAAAATTCCATGGACATGAAATCCTCACTAACTGAAATTTCCACTCATTCCCTGGGAGACGGCCAACTAACAGCCACACTCCAGGAATGTGTTTGGTCTTGCTCAGTAACTGGGCTGTTAATCATGTGTGTGTGTGATGTTCTGCTAGAATGAGCTGCTGGTTTGTTCACACTTAGAAGATGAGCAGTGCAGATAAATGGGGCTGTGCATGAAAATAGGATTTGAAACTTAAGATACTTGAATGTTATTTTAGCCTTTAACGCTTGAGTTGTTCATGGCATGCCCACTTTCATTTTATGTTTTAAGAGGTCTATGTCTGTTTGTTTAAATATAAGCACTGTCAAATGGGTTATAGTAATATAGTGAATACTTGTCATTTTGCTCCCTCAGAAACTGTTAGAGCGCACACGTGCTCGTAGAGAGAATTTGCAGAGGAAGATGGCTGACAGACCAACGGCGGCCAACCGTCCAATGGCAAAAAGGACAAGGGATCCTCTTGCAGATACAAACGGTGTCATAAGTGAGCCGACCATTGAAAAAGGTTCGGCTTTGTACTTCAGTTCAACTTTTTTTGTTGCATGCTCATCAGGTGTTAAAGATGCACAGATGCGTAGATGTACATCAGATGTTTCATTTCTTGCGTTCAAAATTCTTAAAATATGTTTTTCTTTTTGGGACAGCACTTCCCTCCTCCAAGCCGTCCCCCTCAAAGCGTCGTTGTTCAGATGAAAATACTCTCCTTACTGGAGAAGAAAACAAGCAACCGGTGGCCCTAAAATCGACACCCTCTGAGCCCATGACAGACAAGAAGCCACCCCTGGCACCAAGCACTGTTCGTTCTGTGCCCGTGGAGCATAGGTCTGCTCGTTGTACACCAGAACCAGAGGTGCTGCCCACTCAACCTCTTCCAGACACTGAAAAGATGGTGGTGTGCCCTCCACAGTCTCCAGCAAAAAGCACAAATACTGCAATGAAACACACTGCTTTAGATGGAGCCAGAGAGACTCAGAAAGATGTACCAACCAACATGAGATCTCGTCTACAGAGACTGGCTGAACAGAGGCAGTACTGGGACTCGGAGGGTAGGCAACTCTCTCTGACTACCTGAATGCATAGAACTTAGTTACAGATTTATACACCATTCACTATATTGAGGTAAAGGTGAAAGCCCAGTATATTGGTTCAGAGTGATTGTTTTGTATTTGGGCTCTATGTAGGGATCACATCAGCCAACTGTGCCATTAATGGTTGGCTGATTTATCGCCAAGCCCATTATTTGCAATTTTTAGTTATCAGCAATGGCCTATAGTCAAAGTTTTGTTTAATAATAGAAGGCAAATTCTAATAATATTATTTTAATGTACTGTCGTCGTTCAGAAAATACATATTTATATCATTAAATCATAAAATGCAGTTATGCTTGTTTAATATCTGTAAATGGTGATAATTTATATTGTTAATCGGCTACCCATGTTCTCTCAAATATCTCCATCGGCCATCAAAAAACCTATAACAGTTGACTACTAGCCATTAAGAGAAGTCAGAATTTCCTGTTTATATATATTCTGAAGGAATTAAATATTTTATAGATGGAAGTTTAAATAATCATTTAACTAGATTGTGTTGTGTAATTAAATTAGACTGGTACTGTAAAACCTGTTGACCACTCTTTTAAATTATTTAAATGTAATGTCATTAATTTTTAACATTAGGATAAAATGCAAGTACACATTTATAAGGTTCTTCAGGAGACAAAAATCTAGACAATATGTGATCGTATTGTATAATAATGAGACTCAGGATGATAAATAAGCATCTAACTATTTATTAAACATAAAATTGTGCTTTCAGGGACCTCAGAAACAGTCCCAGAGAGCGTAGTCATGTCTCCTCTGAAATCTCAGAAAGTGGATCTCCCCCCTGCTACTCCAACAAGCTCTGAGTTCTCTGTTGGAAGAAAGGGTAGGCTTGCAAACCTTGCCGCCACAATCGGCACGTGGGAAGATGACCTTGGACATCCGCCCATTCGCCGGGACAATGCACAAGCACAGCCTGGTACGGCCTGTGTGCGCCCACCAGTCAGTAAAGTGACGGGTAGCGGTGAGCGACTTCAGTCTGCCCGGCCAGCTCCACACAAGTCTGTTGACCAGCAGGTGGGTCAAGTCAACAACAGATCCTACCCTATGCTCTTTTTTTTCATACGGTTTTTTTTGGGTTGTCAATTGTCTGAATGTTGTTTGTTAGTGAGGGGGTAAAAATAATCTTAAGCATTTCAGTATATTATGGTGTTTTTACATGGGTAAAAATGTATAATGCTTATTGGAGATTTTTGTTCTTATAGCCAACAGTTTATTCTCCAATCAAGTCAGCCAGATTGGTTCCCCCTAGTCCTCAGAAGACCGAGTTGCCCCAGCCCAGACTGGCTCAAGCAGTTCCCTCTCCTGTCTCCAGCCCACTGAAGATTTACTCCTCCACCCAGCCCTCCAGTCCACTTAAATCTTTGACCGCATCTCCCTCTAGTCCCCATAGAGGTTACGTCTCTCAGAGCCCCCTGAAGAACCAGGGCCCATCTAAGTTGAATTCTGGAGCAACACTTAATTCAAGCCCTGCAAAACCAATTTTGACACCTAAACCCTCTTCTACTGCTGATGTTTCTGTGGTACCTCAGGGTCGTGAGAGGTTTACCAAGGACACAACACCCTTACAGCACAAAGGCCCAGCTGGAACTCCTGGTCAGTGGAGTTTCTGTTCTGCTCGTTATTGTTGTTGTTTAAACTAAAGTGCACGACTGTAGACTTATGTTTGCTTATGTTGACCTTTAGGTGGCGTCAAGTCATTTTTGGAGCGTTTTGGAGAAAGGTGCCAGGAGCGTAACCAGAACTCTCCCTCCACATTAGGAAGTCAAGGCCACACACCGATGGCTACTCCCTCTGCCACCTCTAAGTCCAGGCTGCTCCAGGAGAGGCTGGGGGGCGCCCAGTCCACCTCCACCACGGCTGTCCTCGCTCAGAAGCAGAAAATGGTCAGTTTGAACTATTTTAAGTGAATGTTTGTTGATTTGCATATGAAACATTAACACTATATTTATTAATTTATTTATTTGTATTAATAGGAACGAGAGGCAGAACTGGCACAAATTCGTAATCGATTTCAAAAAGGCAACATGTTGAGGAGTAAAGAGGATCTCAATGAGGTCAAGAATGACCCTAAAAATGAGGTTTGCTTTCATGTTTGCTGCCGCTGCTGCTTGAAGATAGGACAGCATCACACAATCAGAGATTAGTCCATATTGTTGTATTACATATTGTAAAAAAAATTATCAGTTTTAGCTAGTAAAAAATGTTTTTACTCTGTCTCTATTTAATGTTTATTAATTTATTTATCTGTTTATTTTTACTTGGTAATTTTACCCTGTTCTTGCTATAAAATATTCATAAAGCTGACATGGCATAAAACCAAATCAATATTGCTCTTTTAATATTAGCGTTTATTTAATACAACAGGCTTTTAGCAGAGATTTAAATTATCACTTTGATTTGAACTATTAATTTTTCCAGAAACCACTGAGTTTCTGTACTTTATAAACCCAGTACTTTATTTTAAGCAATGGATAGAAGAACTTAATGTTACCATTTCTTATCCTCAGGCAATTGAACTGCCTGTACAGAGTCAGACTTCTGTGCCACTGCGTGATGATGAGCCTTCTTCACCAGTGCCTGAAGTATTCAACAGCCCTTCTAAATCTAGTGGAAAAGGTATTTTATTATATAAGCCATAATACAATTTAATGCTTTATTCTTCTAAAGCATCAGGCCACTGTTCATCTGGTTGTTTTGTTTGCTGTAACACTATAGTGGTCCTCATGTTTATTGAAATATGAGTAGTTAAACATTCTGTCCTCTTTTAGACATAGAGTGTGCTCTTCCAAGCCCTAAGAAGAAAGTTGAACTCCTAGTAGAGATGCCTAAAGCGAAAGAGCAAGAGGATGTGAAAGGTATGTATATATGTAGTGTAGGTTATGCTGTGTTTTCTTCGTATTGAGACATTATTTGCTTTAACCGTTAACTTTTGTTTTCATCACTGAGACAAAAAACCAGGCTAATTAAATAATTGTTTGCTTTTTTACTTTATTATAATATTATTATTTATACATATTGTTACTAAAACGCATGTATGGCTGGGTGATAAAGTGATGTTCTTGTTCAGCACTTTGAAGATATTCAGTATACATATCTCCATATGTATGCATCAGTCAGATAAAGTATTTCAACCAAACAGCTATTGCCAAGTAGATGTGTAATGCAAGAAGTTAAATGCACTTAATATGAAGTTAAAAATAATCATGATATCATATTTTCATGAAGTATTGTTTATATATATATATATATATATATATATATATTGTGAATGAATTCTAATTTAGAGTATATTTCTCATACTTTCATTTTGATATTCTCAAAAGAATTCTTAATTCTATTACCCCTGAAATCATGGTGAATAAATATATTGTGAAAATTGTATATTGCTAATTCCAATGACATGTTTTTGATAATGGCTGTTCTTGTTGTGTCATCATTACAGATGAAGAGGAAATACATGAGATTGAGATGAACGTGGATGGCTCTGTTAACTCTGAGGTGATAAATGAGCTGTTTGATGGAATACTGGAGGAAAGTGAGGACCAAAGTGATGAAGAGGATGAAGATGCTCTGAATATCTCCTCCATGTCACTCCTTGCCCCGCTTGCAGAGACCGTAGCAGCTGTGGTTAAGAGTCCAGAAAGAAAGCCTATGGTGAGCCCTGAGGATGTTAAGTTTTAAGTTAAACAGTGATAACACCAAATAATCTGATAACTAGTTACATTCCTCAATTTAACTTTTATTTTGGTCCAGACATCGACTCCTGCCAGCTCATTCATTGAAAAGAGTTCCACCCCTGAGAATGTATCCAGACCCAGTAAGTTCCAAAGGACACGCATGCTACGAGCTGGATCATCTGACAGCATCGATGTCATAGATGAGCAGCAAAACCAGAACCTTCTCTACAGGTACGCATCTGCTCGTCTCTCTTCAAGCAACATTCAAACTGATTTGTTCAGTATTAGTTGTATAACCAGTTGCTTAATGAGTGATTGTTTGATTTCAGCATTGATGCCTACAGATCCACAAGGGTCAAGACCGAGTCTGAGAGGCCTCATGTTAAACAGGTGATCGTGAGGAAAGAGGATGTTTCTCAGAGGATAGAGATGAATGGGAGTCCCAGTCACATCAACATCAAGCAGAAAATGAAGGTCCGTTCAGTAAAGTTTTTTTTTTTTGTCCCCATCAATTAAAAACTAAAACATGCATTTTATTTAAACAATGTGTTATGTTGCGCATGCCATATATTTACAATACTGAATTTAGCAGATGCTTTTACCGAAATCAAGTAGAGGAACATAAGCGAATTGTCAAAGAGCCAGCAATATTTGTAGTATATACAATGATTGCTTTATTAGAAAACAAGCTAGAGAAGAGAATTGTGTATATATTATATGTGCTGGAACCTGGTAGTTTGACGTAGATCTGAGGGGAATTTATGATGCCATGTTGTGTTCTCAGATGTTGACCAATGAGATGAACCTGCAGCAGACTGTGATCCATCAGGCGAGTCAGGCTCTTAACTGCTGCACAGATGAAGAACATGGGAAAGGATCCCAGGTGGAGGCTGAGGCTGAAAGATTGCTGCTTATTGCCAGTAAGTGATACTTTCCTTATTGCACTCCACGGGTGAATATCAGAATTATTTCTTAGACTTGTAGTAATCACTTCTTTTGTTTTGCCTCAGCTGAAAGGAGGGCTGCCCTCAAGGCTGAGATGGACAGACTAAAAGCAGAGGGTCCAATGGCCCAGAAGAAAAGCACAAGCAGTGCCCAGGATATGGGTATACCTGCTTCTAAAGGGTCCATCTCACTGCTGGAGCTGCGACTCCCTCTAAAGGCCGACTTTATCTGCTCTTCCGCCAACAAGCCTGGTAGGAAAGTTTCTGTATTTATGTATAGCTACTTTTTGTTTTGCGTCTTCATGCCTAATCAGACACTCACTCATGTCATCTTTTTGATGCAAGATTGTGGAAACCATTACTTCTTTGTGATGATCCGTGCTGGAGCCGAGAACACAGTGGCAACTCCTCTTGCAAGCACACGCACTGGTCTAAGTGGTGATGCTTTGACCTTCACAACCAAATTCACTTTGTAAGTGTAATTTCCTATCAAACCACTCTTGACATCCCTGTCATCTCAGTGTAGTGTTTTTCATGTTACTTTCTGCAATGTGCAGGTCTGATGTCTCTAATGACTTTGAGATTGATATTGAGGTCTACTGTTTTGTAAGTACAGCTTTTTCATGTATTTTCAAGTGAAATGCATGTTTGAATACAAATTATCTTCCTTTATCAGAAAGATTTAGTAAATGTTTGTTTTTCTCTTAGGTTCAGAAACGGGAGCTGAACTCTGACAAGAGGAAAAAGCCCAAGTCAAAGGTAGATCTTAGTTGTACTGTATTACAGTGGCTCAGTATACATGGAAGTGTAGTTTGTAAAACTTTAACAACTTACTAAGTTTTAATGATCGCTACTCTAAAGAGCAGTGATCAGCGTGTCCAGATTCTCCTGAGGCATTTCCATGACATGGAAGCATGCTTGTTGGTATGCTTTTTCAAAATCATCACTTGCTGGTGTGCAGGCAGTTGATTTGCGTTTTTAATGTCTAGTCTAGTCAGTCTAAACAGTGCACGGTGAAGGGTATTTTTATTCATTCGTTAACGTATTCGTAAAAAGGCCTTTTGTCTCGGTTTCAATAGTACTTTATAGAAATGTTTGTGTATAATTAGCTCTAATAAATATTGTTCACTGTATTTTACATTGAAATAAACTTCTCTTCCCAGGCTATCACACCAAAAAGGTTCCTCGCCATCTCTGTAAGTAGCCAATTCACTTAAATTTCAAGACATACTACCTGTCAAAGGTTTGGGGTAGTATGACTAGTAAAACTGATAAAAACTCCAGGTAATGGCTGAATGAAAACTCAGCTTTGTCGTCACAGAATAAATTGCATTTTGAAATGTATTCAAACAGAAAAGTTATTTTAAATTATTATAATTTTCACAATATTACTTTTTTACTTTCTTTAATCAAATAAATGCAGTCTTTGTCAGCACAAGAGACTTATTTCAAAAACATTACAAAATCAAACCAACCCTGACCTTTTAAATGGAAGTGTAAAGTAAATGCCATGAGTATTAACAAAGAAACTCAAACATGATGCTAAAAAAAAATGAAAACCATGTTTTAAATGAATTGGTCAATAATCAGCAAAAACGGTAGACTGTTGCAAAACTATCAAAAATCTGTTTTCAAGGCCAAATCCATTCTTTCTCTGGGAAAAAATCCAGTCTTTCATCTTGATTTAAGGTTCATTAAGGGATTTAATCTCTGAAACCTAGACTGCACCAAGTCTTTCAAAGTTTTCTTTATAAAATCCTTCTCCCATGGCCAAATAAAAACAATATAAACGAACAATGAAACCATAACTGTTTGTATAAACCTGCAGTTCCTCATTTATCTGTAAACAATCATTTCACCATGTGCATGGTGTTTTCTTTGTTCAGCATGTAATATTGCAGTGCCATAACATTTTGTTTTAAATTATACTTTTTTTTTCTGAAACTGTTTGCCTTCATTTATTTATTATAGAAGAGCAACCTCCAAACACCTGGTGAGTATTAATTGCCATTTAAATGTAGTTCAATTCATCTAACTTTTTAACGGTTGTTATTAAATTATTTATTTTGTGTATTTATTTTCAGTTATGGCTAGCCCTGGTGGTCCAAATGCAGTGCGCACCAGTGGCTTTGTACTCGTTGGATCACACAAGCTAACTCTAGCCTCCATTGGGAAAAACAAATTTCCGTTGGAGAAGGTACTTTCCTCCCTTTGCGTCCTTTTTTTATATCAACTCTTGCACAAATGAAATTACTAACACCACCACCTGGCGAAGCACACTAGATGTAATGCTTGCTGGCATGCAGAGTATGGGGTTAGATTTCAATCACAATTCTGCGCGCGCAAGATCACATTTTGAGCGCGCAAAAGGGCATTTCGCACGCGCGTGAACTGAGTTTTGAGGAGAAATGTTCGTCTCGCAGATAAGAAAATATTTCGAGCGAACGAAAAATCAATTTTGCATTTAAAATAAGTTTTTGGATGTGCGCAGACGTTCTCTTTCGCATGTGCAAAGTTTCACTTTCTTGCTCCTCTCATACCAGGCATAAGCGCTCTCGAAGCGCAGACGGCTCGCGTGCTCAACACAACCCAGCGTTACAATATGCCATAACTCCAGCCAATCAGAGATGAGGCTGCTAAATTCTGATTGGCTGGCTTGAAAACCAATCACAAGACTCCCTGCAGCTGTGGACTAGGAAAAATACATGATGGAAGATATTTATGTTTAATTTTAATGGATTGAAGTTGAACACTTCAATTTAAGTTAAAGTAAACAAAAACATTAACAGCAGAGATGTTCTGGAAAAAGAACTATCTTACTAAAAAAATATACTGTATTGTCTTATATACTATTTTAGGATGGATAGTGTGCACATTGGGATGCAGGCTTGTTCCCTTCACTGCAAAAAAAGAAAAAAGAAAGACATGTGGGTAAAAATGCAAACATATATGCAAATATAACTGTAAGTGAAAATTGTGGGTGTGTGACCCACAAGACTTCTATATAATTACTCGCATAATTAGATTTTTTTTTTTTTTTTTGCAGTGAGGGGAACAAGCCTGCATGCCAATGTGCACACTATCCATCTAAAAATTGTATATAAGAAAATACAGTATTTTTTTTTAGTATGATAGTTGTTTTATATGACATCTGCTGTAAATGTTTTTGTGTAATTCCAAGGATATGAAGTAGATTGATTATTATTTTAACGTTATTACATTGCATTTCTACGTTTATTTGATGGCTTTTTTTATTTTATTCTGATGTGAGTGATGTACCGTTTTTACACACTTATTTCATTAAAAGGGGAAAAGTCTGTCCATCTTCATTTCTGAAAATGTGTAACAACTCGGTCACATTCATATTTCACTAATGTTAATGACATAACTTGCAGTTCAGAAAGAAGTTAGAACTACCTCTTGAGGTGTAGCAAACACTGGGACATGCCATTATGTATTATACACAGTAATAGTACGATTTGATTTTGATTAAAAATAAGCTAAAGAAAATGAGCTTAAAATAAGCTAAAAAATAAACTGTGGCCGTCGAGTGGTAGACAATTGAACTTAAATAGAAGTGTTCAAGCCATTAAACAAATTAAACATAAATATCTTCCATCATGTATTTTTCCTAGTCCACAGCTGCAGGGAGTCTTGTGGTTGGTTTTCAAGCCAGCCAATCAGAATTTAGCAGCCTCATCTCTGATTGGCTGGAGTTATGACATATTGTAACGCTGGGTTGTGTTGAGCACGCGAGCCGTCTGCGCTTCGAGAGCATTTTTTACAGTCTATGTTCGAGACGCTTATGGCTGGTATGAGAGGAGCAAGAAAGTGAAACTTTGCACATGTGAAAGAGAACGTCTGCGCACATCTAAATACTTATTTTAAATGCAAAATTGATTTTCGTTCGCTCGAAATATTTTCTTATCTGCGAGACGAACATTTCTCCGCAAAACTCAGTTCACGTGCGTGCGAAAGGCCCTTTTGCGCGCTCAAAATGTGATATTGCGCGCGCAGAATTGTGATTGAAATCTAACCCCATAGCAGAGCGGGAGAGGTTTAAGCACAAAACTACTCTAACTAATACAGTTAACACTACTCTTGTTTTTCTTGCACAGTGCTGCCTTTTGCATTTGCCAGACTCTTTCACATGCAGTCATTTCTCTCTTTTAGATCAAATATGAAAGGAGTGAAAGAGAGCTGCTCAGTGACATGTTTCACAACAAGGTTGCTATATTTGCTCTGTGTTTAGTAACACGGGTTGTTATGTGTCTGAGAATTTAGCTAACAAGGCTTGGTTTCTTTTTGGTAATACTCATTGTCACGCCTTTAAGCTGCTTATTTATAAACCTATGTGCACATCAATGTCTTTGTATTTGTGGGTGCTAGTTCTGTTTTCTTTATTCCTTCAGGAAAATGTATCTTTCTCTCTTGCTTTGAATGATGCTTCTGTTGGATATGCTTATGTGCTCCAGTTCTTAGTGTCCTGTCCACTGACACCCACTGTGTCCTATCTCACTACAGGTACCTTTCCTTTGTCCTTTGGAGGGTCACGTTTACCTGAAAATGCATTGTGAGGTTGGCTCACGGATAGAGGAAAGGGGCTTCCTGGTGAGTCTTTATTCTGAAAGTCTAAAGAATGATAAAACAGTTCTAATCCTTCCATTTTGATTTAAATATCCAGTCATTGCTGGATAAACTAGATCAGTAGATAACCAGGACCCAGTTGTCCAAAAGTAATTGGCTATTGGGTTGGATCAAATCTTGAAAATGCGTTGAAAAGAAAATAATAATTTTGAAATCAGATTAGATCAAAAAATCAAATCCATCAGTTTGTGTTCAAAACGTTTTTGTAAGATTAAGATACCTTTGATCCAGAAAATCAGGATTATCCTGATCCCAGCAGAAAGTGTAACAACTTAAAACTGGTCAAAAATGTGCATTTATAAATATTTTTTTTTTCTTGATTTAGTTTAACTGTAAAAGTAATAAATTAGAAGTACACATTATTAGGCTACCTATTCAGCCTTTCAGTACAGTAAAGTGAAAAAATAGATTTTGGTGCCATAAAATAATCCCCCAAACAGCTGTCAATATCAAACAAATATAATATGTAATTAAGTTTTTTTATTTTTTATTTTTTTTGTTTTATCATTATATATAAACTACATTGGCACAATCAACTTAGTCAAAAGCATCCCTTATTGAATGTATTATGTTTGTTTTGTTGTGGGTCACATGAGGGGCTACGGAAACCCTAAAGGGACATGGTGAGGGGGGAAGAAGTTAGGAGATGGAAGGAAAATTAATTTTAATGCTTTTGTGTTCTCTTGTAAATGTTTTGCGTTCCGCTGGGAGACTTTGCATTAATTCGCAAAGAACTCAAAAGTTTTGAGAGTGAATGCAGTTTCTTGGTGGAACACAAAAGCATTAAAATATATTGGTTTTATCTAATTGAATCCATTTAATTGAAAATGGAACGGGATGTTTGTGTTTGTTTTCTTTCTCCTCAAATAAAACACTTAAAATGACCCCACATTGAGTCTTCTACTATAGTAGGCTAGCAGCTTACATTGTGAAATATAACTCCATTTGGAGCACTAGTAATCCAGATATGGTAATCTGAAAAGGTGTGTATCTGGATCAGGGGGATCTAATCCTATTTTGCTATGGAAAAACTGGCGCTTAAGTGAGATGGATTACCTAATCTTGGATAGCAAAACAATTCTTGTTTATACTGAGATGGCTTTGTGTGATTGTTAGTGAGGTTGTCTTTTATTTTCAGACTATGTTTGAGGATGTCAGTGGATTTGGAGCCTGGCACAGGAGGTGGTGTGTCCTTTCAGGATACTGCATCTCTTATTGGACCTACCCTGATGATGAAAAACGGAAGGTAGGCCTACTATAATGGTTTTGGTTTTTTAGATGCTCTTTTACATAGCATTAAAATGAACATGTTCTTCCTCTTGCAGAATCCAATTGGTCGTATTAACCTCACCAACTGTACCAGTCGTAAAGTGGAGCCAGCAAACAGAGAGTTCTGTGCCCGGCCCAATACCTTTGAGCTCATCACTGTGAGACCTCAGAGGGAAGATGACAGAGAGACCCTGGTCAGCCAGTGTAAGGACACACTGTGTGTTACAAAGTAAGACCCAATTAACAAATGTGAATTCATCTGCTTTGATGAAGATCAAGTCCTAAATCAAAACATGACTTTGTAATATGCAGGAACTGGCTGAGTGCTGACACTAAGGATGAGAGGAATCTGTGGATGCAGAAGCTCAACCAGATCTTGGTGGACCTGCGCATGTGGCAGCCAGATTCATGCTACAAACCCATGTGAGCCTGCTCTCATCTGACACCAAGGGCCAGACATCTCCTCGTCTGGCTTTCACATTGACTGCGTACATGTCTGATTTGGAAGTGCAATATGGCATTACAGTTACAGAGCGTTTACAGATACATTTTACAAGTTCTTCATTATAAATTTGACAAAAGTCAAATGTGTATGCGTAAAAAAAAATCAATAAAGCCATAAATGAAAAGACTTTTCAATATTAAAGAGCAAAATGCTTTGCCTTACAAGGGTTTTCAGGTATGTTTTAGATATTTGTATAAATTAGCATGGCTTTCTTAAATACTAATGAAAGTTTGTTTTCTTTGTTAAACTGTTGATTGTATGTGTATTTAAATGTCTTTTGCATGACTGCTGTCTGCTGAGATACCTGCTGTATTCAGATTTCTCTGAGTATTCTTCAAGGCCAGCAAGACGGGATGCAATTTCCTAAATTTTTAAACCATACACTTAATGTCGTTACTTTGTGGTGACGCATTTGATTCCTATTCTAAGTTGAACTTCAGAAACCCATGATATTTTGTAAGCAAGGTATATATGCTGTCATAAGGATGACTTAAATTTTTTGCTCGTCCGTCATGGGAATCAGTATTTTATTTTAATAACTAAAGGGTTTGGTTGGATTATGGAGTTATAAAAATGTATATTTATATCTTTTTGTTTACTTTAAGTACAGAGTGGAGAACACACTTGGATAACCAAAGGGAATGGGTTTTTTTCTTTTCTTTTTGGACATTTATGGGCAATGTGGTTCAAACATGGCAGACAATTCAAAACACAACTAGATCTTTCCGTCATAATAGCTCTTCATCCAAGTTTCTGCAATAACACTATGATGAGGGATATGAGCCTTCAAAAGAATACAAATACAGACCGCATTTGTCAGATATTTTCCTTTTTTATTGAAAAGGAAAATGCCCCAAGACATGTTTTTTCCATTGCTAGATTACTTTGCAATATTTGTGAGCTAAAATATATTTATCATGCACATCCCCTATTTTCTCAACTCTACACCGTATGTATATTTTTGTGTTTGCTTTACTTTTACATGAACATTTTATAACTTTTTAAATTGTTATACCTTACTCTAGATTTATTAACTTGTATCCAAATGAGTTTGTTGAATAAGTGACATTTACAAAAGCTTTTTTTTTATTGGCACCACAATTGTCAAAACAATTTCCTTAACCTTGTGATGCACAATACCAAAATGCAGCCACTATCACTGTAGTAACCCCAAGGCACTTCAGTGTAATGGCTTAAATTGGCTGTTTTGTGTGTTATGTATCTTAAACACTCCAAATGTGTATTCCATGTATCACACAGAGCTGCAGTTTAAATAAACAAGCATTTGACAACATGCATGCCATCTATTTCTTAGTTTTTTGTTTGTTTTTTGTCACTTGTTGAAGTAGAAAGATATTTAAATTTTAACTTAAGAGACATGCATGTTTTATACCTTTGCAAGTAAATCTTGATGCTGATGTTCCATCTTATGTTGGCTTTCAGTTGTAATCTCAATGGATTTTGTTAGATTAGAAATGTTTAGAATTAATAAATATCTTTTTAAATACTGTATGAGTAACCTGCTGAATGTTTGTCATTACTTTTCGTTAGCATTGTCATTGCAATGAACTATTGAACACAGTGTTATTGTGAATCAAAACAAACTTAAAAATATTTTTGTGAATTGAAATGAAGCAAAAATAAATATTAGGTGAACATCAGCTGAAACAAAAATTAGAAATACCTTGTCAACTATCTGAAATTTAAAAAACTTGCTAAAACTGAAATAATGAAATATTTATAAATACTTTAACAGTACACAAATGATACTAAAATAGTTTAAAATCTATTAAACTATTGGAAATAGTATATAAGTAATACAATTGAACAAAGGCCTGGTAAAATAATAGTTCTACTCGTTTATTTTAGCGTTACCAATGTACGTTTATGGTCTGGTCTGGTTAATATAATGTTAGTCATGGAATTGGAAGAACAAAAGCGGAATTATAACCTTTGAATAGTCTGATGTGAGGAGTAATGTGTCCTTTTAGATACGGATATCTTTAGCCTTATCTATACTTTAAAATATTTTTGATATACGATGTCACTTCAGGCCAAATCCCGGATATTATATGATGGTGAGGTATTACAATTTTCCCAATGAGCTCGCGCTGTTGATAATCGGCGTGTCATTGACCAATCAGATTGGCGGTCTGGTCCTAGAAGGCGGGCCTTGGATTCCATAGTCAGCAATCGGAGGCGTTACCACTTCCTTTCTCGGCTGAGTGAGTTTGCGGACACGAAGTGTGTAGAGTGGTGGAGAGAAGTGTCTTTAGTTCGTTTACACCTTGTAACCATGGCCCCCAGCACGCAAGCGGATGCAACTGTCTCCGGTATACGGAAAGGCATTCGAGCCATTCTGCTCGGCCCACCCGGAGCAGGGAAGGGGACGCAGGTAGAGTTCGTGCGAAGGGCCGCGTGGCTCATTTAGACTTAACCGTTCAGCAGAACCAGGATATATAGTAAGGGGGTGGTTCACCTAAAAAATTTTTTAAAAAATCTGTTGTCAGTTACATATCCTCATGCTATTCTAAACCATTACGGACTTAATTCTTCTGTGAAAAACAAAAGCAAGATGTTAGACAGAATGTCACCATTCACTTTCATTGAAATTTTTCCATATAATGAGAGTGAATGGCGAATGAGACTGTCATTCTGCCTAACTTTCTTTCTGCTCCACGGAAGAAAACAAGTCATACATGTTTGGAATGACATGGTGGTAAATGACGGCAGGTTATACATTTTGGGTTGAAATACTCATTGAACTCAGCTAAACCCAACATTATGCCATGGGAACCAGCATGTGTCACCGTGTTACTGTCTCTTTAAGAGCAGTGCCCTGTTGCCCTGGGCTTTATCACACTGTTCATTCAGTGCAAATGTGGAATGATCTATGTATGTGACAATCAACGCATGTAACTTGGTGACCACTGGGAAAGTTGTAGTCCTGTTGAACGACCATGTAACTCAATAGACCATAAAGAATATCATCTTTCACATCAATCAACAAATCATTATTGGTTTGCTGTACTGCTTGCTGATATTTTGCAATATTGTTGCACATCAGTAAAATAGTTCAAACTTGGCTTATGCATGTGGTTACAACACAGTGACAATTGAGATTTGTAGTTTTAATCATATGTACACTACCGTTCAAAAGTTTAGTAATGTTTTTAGATTCTTATGCTCTGAAGGCTGTATTTATTTGATCAACAAACAGTAATATTGTGAAATATTATTACAAACAAAAATGTTTTTTTTTTCTATTTGAATATATTTTAATTTTAATTTATTCCTGTGGTGGCAAAGCTGAATTTCCAGCATCATTACTCCAGTCTTCAGTGTCACATGATCCTTCAGAAATCACTCTAATATGCTGATTTGCTGCTCAAGTAACATTTCTTAATATTGTCAATATTGAAAACAGCAATGCTGCTTATTTATGTGGAAACTGTGATTTTGTTTTATTTATATATATAAATTATATCTATTATATCTCCCCTACAGGCACCCAAGCTTGCAGACAAGTACTGTGTGTGTCATTTAGCTACTGGGGACATGCTGAGGGCCATGGTGGCATCTGGATCAGAACTCGGTCAGCGTCTAAAGGAAACCATGGATGCTGGCAAACTGGTAAAATGAATAGATATTCAGTGTAAACAATTTTTCACATTTAAATTCTTGCACTACTAGATTTGTTCTTCTCCAGACCTAAATCTCTGTTCATCACTTTTCTTTTAGGTGAGTGATGAGATGGTGGTGGAGCTCATAGACAACAATCTGGACACGCCTGCATGCAAGAATGGATTCCTGCTGGACGGTTTCCCCCGTACCGTCAAACAGGCAGAAATGGTGAGGACTTCTACAATCTGTGAACAATTGACTCTTCAAATGTGTCTATAAAGGCCCGTTCACACCAATGACGATAACTACAACAATAAAGATGAAGATACAGTTCTAAAAATCTTTCTAAATATAAAAGAATAATATAGTCCACAACTACAAGGATAACGGCACAGAGAAATGATATCGTTGGAATCACTTTCAGAGCGATTTTTTTCAGTTGATGAACGATACAAACATTTAACAGCTAATCGGAATCCATCCTGCTTTAAAGAGCTCGAGCATTTAAAGCAGCAGACGACAAAACTGCAGCGCGCGTTATCGTTCGTTGGTGTGTGGACGCACCACACCTAGCGCCCACACCTCCTATCGTTCTTGGTGTGAACGGACCTTAATACAGTGCTTGATTTGAAATGGGCACCCAGTTCTGATTGGCTGGTTGCACCACAATCTGTCAACCTGTACTGTACATCTTTCTCATTTCTAGCTGGACGGCCTCTTGGAGAAGCGTAGTGAGAAACTGGACTCTGTGGTTGAATTCTCCGTTGATGACTCCTTGCTAGTACGCAGGATCTGTGGGAGGTATGAGGATGGAGGGGTCTCTAAATTGGAAGCATTGTATTGGAGCCCATCATCACTAATGTAGTCTAATAGCTCGGTTTAGTTTAATGAATATGGAATGCACTGAATAGAACATCACACTCATTTCAAGAATAAGAGAACACATATGCTTGGTAGGTCATACAAGAGGTCAAAAACATAATTAGTGTGTATAATGTAATATTTAATGAGAAAGGTGGCAGGAACATTTTTCATTATGCAGTTTTCATGGGAACTCAATAAGGAAGTGCACCTTCCTCCTTTTTTTAAAGCTACAATATTTAATTTTTTTCTTACAATAACAAAGGCGTAGGTTGGATGACGCATTAGCGGAATTATGGAACTTGTCATGCTGATGGATCTAATAATGTTTATGGATGAATGAATACATTGATGTTTTAAACATGACTGTGGTGTGAAGCAGGGTGTGATTGCTAATGAGAGAAAGATATCAGCGCCACACGCGAGTCCTGCGGATATAAAGGAATGAGGACATTTAATTCTACCGGATTACACGCAAGTGCTGAATCAATACTCACACAGGGCAGTTTATTAGACGAATGAAACTTGTGAAGTAATGCAGCGCTGTTTCACTTGGTCTACACTATCACACTAAACTGCATTTGAGTGTGTTGAAAGTTATAATGTTATTCTATGTGTTAGTTTGTTTGCTAAATGAAACTAGCAGTAAGCTAGATCAACATTAGAATAACAAACTGATCATATTCTAACATTTCATCATGTTGAGTTATATAACATTGATAAGTTTTATGTACATTTGCTCACCTATCTAATAAAGTACATACAAGAGTGGCGTCTCTGTCAAGTCCAAGTTAGTCGCGGACGCGGAGCTCTCGGCATCTCGAAAACGCCACGCTGATATTGACCCTCGTTTTAGTTCTCCTTTTGTCCCAAAGTCTGCTTGCCATGGTCCATAATGTTTGAACAAAACAACAACAGCGTGAGCGTGCCGCTATACGTAACGCAGTTGTCCACGTCTGTCGCCATGGTTACTATAGCAGTACGAGCGCAAACCAGGGATAACGCGGATATTACGTCATTGACAGGCGACCAGTGAACATGAATGAGCCATTATTTGTAATTGGAATTTCTCTGAAATTAAAAATCTTTGGGAAATTTTGGGATATTGTAAGTACACAACTATATCATACTGTGCAAGTGATTTTTGGATATTTTATTACAAAAATCGTACATATTTAGCTTTAAGTAAGAATTGTAAAGCATGAAAATGATGCTTTGTTTAAACCTGCAATACAACAGAAGTAGTGACAATCTTTTCTTCCATATTGTGACATACTGTACATTCAAGTGTAACGGATTATTAAAAAATGTAGAGCGGGGACTTAGTTCTTCTATGCATCTGTTGTTTGGTTCTTCAGATGTGGCTGTTGCACTCAAAAGTAGATGCAGATGAACTTGAGCTTGCAGGGACGGAGTTTAAGCCGACTTAATTCGTTTCACCAGAAAGTTAAAAATTGTAAAAACAAATGAAACATGCACAGTTGTAATAGTCTTTTCTTGCCTATTGTGATGTATATCCAAGTGAAACGGCTTCTCAAACAAATAAAAATGTAGGGCGGGACTTGATTTTGGAATGATTGGATGGTTGTGGTTTTCTATTGGTCGATCTCTTGTGAGTGACAGGTTGTCCCGCCCTTGTGCAAGTAAACGCATCATCAGAGACGAGGAGAGATGTCGCTGTAAGAGGGAGAAGTTATTCTGATTAAAGATTGAGGGCACATGATTTAAAAAAAAGTAATGATGATAAATCATTTATTATACATACTGCAATATTCCATAAACAAAGAAGGGTAATATATAATATAATATATATATATATATATATGCACACACACATAGTGTAATGTATATATACCATTCCTTTCCTCAGGCTCATTCACCAGCCCAGTGGCCGATCTTACCATGAAGAGTTCAACCCCCCCAAAGAGCCTATGAAAGATGATGTGAGAAACAAAACTGTTCAGATTCTTATTAATATTACATCTACGAGCATTGCTATAAAGTTTTGTTCTGATCCATACATCCACAGGCGACCGGTGAGCCTCTTATTCGCCGCAGTGACGACAACGAGACGACTCTGCGCTCCCGTCTGGAGTCGTATCACCGGCTGACGTCTCCTCTAGTGCAGTACTACAGTACCCGTGGCCTGCACACTGCTGTCGATGCTTCTCAGTCCCCCAACCTCGTCTTCGCCTCCATCCTCGCTGCCTTCTCTGCTGCTACCTGTAAAGATCTCGTTTATTTTGTCTAAATCATCTCTGCATACCCTCTTTCCTAAAATGCATTCTAACACTTTATTTGATTCCTCTCGTGTTTTGTCTTTAGACATGGTTTTGATTCATCTGCTGTCTATTGAGCAATGGATAACAGAGCTCTTGACAAAAAAAGGGCTATAATATATATAACTGATTGTAGAACCCAGACTTTAAGTTCAGACTTCATATACTGAAGGCTCTTAAGCACTTTTTGTTCAAACCAGACCCATGTAAAGAGGTATGGTTATTTAATTTGCACCATTTACAAAGTGAAATGTGAATAATAAGAACAGGAATCATTTCTAATTCACTTTTCTAGTAGACTTGGATCTTGTAGTATTGCTTGATATCCAGTAGAGGTCATGTGAATACTTGGTTTGATTGCTGAATGTAAAATAATAATAAAAAAAAAAACATTTTAATTAATTGCTTTATTAGTTAATATTTATTAATTAATGTCCTGAGTTGAATCATTAATTTACTTGTGGACCTTTTTCTTTTTTTTCTGCAGCTGCATGAAATCCAGTTTCTCCCATCCAGGTTGATCCAGATGTGAAAATAATGGATGGGGGGGGGGGGGGGGGGAAGGGGGAAGCTGGAAGTGTCTCTGATGTTAATTTTGATCATTCCTTGTAGTGATTGTTTTTTGTAATGAACACAGATTTGACTGAAAACCAGTTGATTACCTCCAATAAACTTGGGAGACTATTTTGTACTACCTACATGAAGGTTTTTGATTCATTGTTTATTCTGTATCACTGTCCAAATGCTGGATGGTTCGTCTCCTTCTTAATTTTGTTGCTTTGAGAACAAATTTCTGAAGTTTGTGAGAGAATATATATATTCGTTTTCTAGTTATGCTCTTTTTAAAATATTCACAAATCGGTCAATCTGGCTGACGTACTGGTTTAAATGATTAAGTGAAATGGTCCGTATCAAAAACGTAAAACATTTTTAAAATGTGTACACTATAATAACAGACAGCTGGAAAAGTAATCGTAGTTTCATTTTTCAAATGATGTATTCACTGAAATGAATAATCTTTTGGTCAAAAATGTGAGATATAAACTTTTTACATATTTTGTTTGTATTAGGAGAAATACAAAACCAGTAGTTCTGAACCTTTTTGACTCCAAAGCCCCCAGCTGTTCAAAGGCCTTTTCTGTCTAAGCTAATTTGACCATTGGTACTTCTGATGAAATAATGATGAACTAAAAAATGATGTCAGTTTAATGCTGTACATCTTTACTTTTTTATTGTTTTAAAAATTTTAGCAATTAAGATTTTACGCTGAGCGGCCTAATGGGCTCCTGGTTGAGAGAACCACTGTTTTACATCATCTTATTTAAAAAATATTTTCCGTGTTTGCCACTGAACTGTACTAATAATACGTTTAAAAGACATGACTCTTTTTTTCCTGTTGGTTTTTTTATTTTTTTATTTTTATTAATGCCAAGGTATCAAAATATAAGTAGCCTACAAAAATGTACAAATTACATACAACAAAAAGACTACTTATTTTACAGTCAAAACGTGACACGCAATCATTTCCGTTTCGAGCGACGTCAGTGGGCGGGGTTTCCTTCTCGTATGTGAGTGTCGTCACACGCTGGGGCTTTCCTCGGTGACGTGAATGGAAAAGAGAATAGAGCTGCGGACATAATCTGAGCAATATCGCGGACAGGGCAGCAAAAAAGCACTGACATCCTCCCCTTGGGCTGATGTTCGGGGAATGTTGTAGCGGATAGCACTAGGGTGATATTTGTCAGATTTACAAGACAGTTGGTTGAATGTACATGGTGTACAGTAGCACCGAAGCTCACTGCGTACCGCCCTATTCTGCTTCAGTTGCTTCCAATACTATCAGATCCATCTGAACGGTAAGTGCCCAACAGATCTGTCGTCATGGTTACGCTTTAGAATCCTTTTAGAGTCATTTTGTGCTATATGATTCCAAAATACTGTGATGTTCTGATGGTGACCAAGTGTTTGGGATCATTGTGTGATTGATATCAGGACATATCTCAGGACTCGGGCCACTGATCAACATTGTTTTGTTTTACTGTAACGTTAGTCCTTTCTTTAAGTGCAGGAATGCGACACAAATAAATAAATAGTAAATAAACTAGTTGTTTTAAACATTGGGGATTTTATTTATGTTCTAGTAGTTACTATTGAACTTGGCATATATTAAATGTTTACATAACAGGTGTGTGTGTGTATATATATATATATATATATATATATATATATATATATATATATATATATATATATATATTATACATATTTAGTCATGTTATTACATTTATGTAATGACCTTTTTGTATATATACATATATTTAAATTGAAGCTTTTTGCGTCCTGCCCAGTTCAAATTTAATCACTAAAACAAGTGAATCACTATAATTGATTTATATATATATAAATCAATTATAGTGATTCACTTGTTTTAGTGATTAAATAAATCAATTATAGTGATTCACTTGTTTTAGTGATTAAATTTGAACTGGGCAGGACGCAAAAAGCTTCAATATATATATATATATATATATATATATATATATATATATAGTGTATGTACTAACCTTTGTATATTTACATGGAACGTAATTTATCCTAAATATCTCATATTTACGTATTTGGGGGCAAAGTTATGCAATATATATATTACATGTGTACGTAATGTCCTATTTTTATTGAGGAGAGATTTTGTCCTTGTCTGCTTTGTTGAATGGCTGAGTCTCTATGTGTTGCTTCTTCAACTCCTTTCTAAATATAGAGCGTATTAGTTCATCATGAACTTTACAGTATTACACAAATTTGTTGTAACTTGTAACTGTACATGTGTTGGGAGTTTTGGTAACACTTCTCCATCTAGTGTAAAGCAAGGAATGCACAGAATGACTTCAGTTTCATTTCTTCTTTTGCCTCACCAAACAGACAGTTAATTCCATTAAGTCTTTCTTGTCTTGTTTTTCTGAATTCTTGGGTTATCGGTTTTACCGTAAACCTCCATGTGACTCTCACAAACTGATAAAATCAAGGTCTTTAGTTTCACAGGAACCATGTTTTTTCTTTTGTTCCAGCCTCCCTCACACAATAGTCAGTGAGTGTGAATGTGGCCTACTGGTGTTAGTCATGTTTTGTCTTGACTCTTGAATCTTTGTACAGTGCATTCATGATAATGCATACGTTATATGAGATTTTGACTTCTATGAGGATGCAACAGTATGAAGTGAGCTGGAGAACAGACAGCCTGCTTCTTAGCAAGAATGGTACATGGATAAACACAACCACCTGCTCCACACAGACTTAAAGAGATTTCATTGAAGGGATAGTTCACCCAAAAATATACATTCTGTCATAATTTACTCAGCCTCAAGTTGTTCCAAACCTCACCTGTATGAATTTCATTCTTCTGCTGAACACGAAAGAAGATATTTTGAAGAATGTCGGTAATCAAACAGTTTATGGGCCCCATTGACTTTCATAGTATTTTTTTCCCCATACTATGGAAGTCAGTGGGGCCCATCAACTGTTTGGTTACCGACATTCTTCAAAATATCTTCTTTCGTGTTCAGCGGAAGAAAGAAACTCATACAGGTTTGGAACGCCTTGTATCGAGTGTGTGTGTGTGTGTGTGTGTGTGTGTGTGTGAAATCAACAATATTTTGAACCTACTTTGTTTAATATGATACAGATTAGATTTAGAGCTGCATGATTAATCATTAAAGATCGCGATCTTATTCCTAAATGACAACGATTCGGCTATATTTTTACAAGTACAGTTGTCATGTATAGTTATAAAACAGCTTCACAAACAGTCTTTTCAACCATACAGTATCATTATTTCTATCACAGGAGTATTGGGATAAAAGTCTATAGTTCAGATGTAAACACTGAAACCAACGGTAGTCATCAAAATAGAGTAAATCACTTTTTAAAAGTAACGTTACGCTTCAAATAAAGATTGTATTAATTATTTAGTTACAGCAGTTAGTGGCAACAAGCGACTGTTAAAGGGGTCATATAATGCCATTTTTGTACAAGCTAATATGATTCTTTAGGGTCTAAATTAAAAGTTTGTAATATACTTTGAAAGGAACACTCCGACTTTTTGGGACTTTAGCCTATTCACCTTATCCCCCAGAGTTAGATAAGTCCATACATACCTTTTTCATCTCCGTGCGTGCTATAAGTCTGTTTGACGCACCCACCGCTAGCCTAGCTTAGCACAAAGACTGGATGTAAATGGTTGCAGCTAGCATACTAATCCAAATAAGTGACAAAATAACGCAAACCGTATAAATACTGGGAACTATATTCTCTGAAGGCGAAGCACTGCTACTTGGGCGGAGTGATAACCGCAGCACCTGAGACGCGCTCTCTGCTCCTCACCACGGCGCGTCTCAGGTGCTGCGGTTATCACTCCGCCCAAGTAGCAGTGCTTCGCCTTCAGAGAATATAGTTCCCAGTATTTATACGGTTAAAATATGTCTGTGTCTCATGTGACTTTGTTCTTTGTACACTCTGTGACTATACAAATCACAACATGTAAATAGGAAAATGTTTGCGTTATTTTGTCACTTATTTGGATTAGTATGCTAGCTGCTACCATTTACATCCAGTCTTTGTGCTAAGCTAGGCTAGCGGTGGGTGCGTCAAACAGACTTATAGCACGCACGGAGATGAAAAAGGTATGTATGGACTTATCTAACTCTGGGGGATAAGGTGAATAGGCTAAAGTCCCAAAAAGTCGGAGTGTTCCTTTAATTAAAAATTCTCATTAGTATTGTAAGAAAACACTTATTTTACCTGGTCAAAAACAGCTCTGTTTTCAGCACGCCGTTTCAGTGCATATGACTTTAAATGATAATGAGCTTTGCTCACCCCGCCCCTCTGTTCTGTGCGTACACCGTTTGTAACACAATAACACAATAACCATAACGCGTTGTTCAGTATAAACGTGGGATTATGAATTATATTGAGAACATCGTACATAGAAAACATGCCGTAATGTACCCTAAGTGTAAACCTTAGACGCATTCATTGTGAAGCGTGCAGCTAGCGATTTGCAAAGATTAATATATTAATATAAAGTTTAATAAAACGTTATTATTTAATAAAACGCATTGACGTTGCTCGTGGGGAATATTCCCTTCGAAAACAAACTCAGCCACTGCGTCTTCAGCGGTTCGGATTTAGGAACATTAAAATGACTGCTGTGTTCGTTATTACACCCAAGAACAGAACACCACAATCGCTTAGACGCCATTCTGCTCATAGACAGTGCTCCAGCATATCAACAATGACCGCGCCGGTCCGCGCAGACTATGATTGACAGCTCCCTCACGAGCGAGGGCGGGTCTGTGTTGAAACGCTCCTGTCAATCAACAATCGTGGGAGGGGCTTCCGAGCGTGTGACGTCACACGGTCGAACGGCTCGATTTGAGGCAGGGGAAAACATATAAGGAGATTAAAACAAAAACACTGGATGGATTTTTATCATTATATGATGGTTGTGTACAGGCACTGCCAACACACATTTCAGTACAATCAACTTGTAAAAGTGCATGTACCATTATATGACCCCTTTAAAAATGTATTTGTCATTGAATCATTCATTCAAGAGATTAATTCAAAAACTCTGATTTATCCAGTAATGAAACAAGGGAGGTCTTTACGACTGAGTCATTGAATCATTCATTCAACCCGATTAAAAAACAACAATAATTCAAATTAATGTAAAAAAATAAATAGACTGCAGCAATTAACATTTTGTCGGAACCTCTATTCTTGCTATTTTTTTATTTATGTGTCTATTCAGAATCATGGGAGAATCTCTATTTTAGACAAGAAAATCGTGATCCAGAATCGCGCGGCTCTAATACAGATGCACACGGAAACAAGACAGCAGGACACATGCAGGCTTTGCTGAGAACAATAAGCCTCAGTGGATCTTCAGATGTGACTCGAATGGTTATGTAATGGCTAGAGATCCAGTAGCCCACCTGTACACCAATGGACCATGTGACTGTGTGTGTGTGTGTGTGTGTGTGTGTGTGGTGTGTGTCTGAGATAGGTCTGGGGCTGTAGGATGATATGAAAGTGCTGAGGTGCGGTTTCAGGGTCTGACGCGGACGGAAGCGCAGAGACAGTGTCAGTCTAGCTCTTTCTTATCTCTCACAGTAGTGAGTTTGTCAGTAACATGCTGCCAGGAGGCCAAACACTACATTATTTTCTATATTCTCCTTTTGTTGAAGTGTTGAATGTTGAATTTAATTTAGCTTATGAGTCAGACTCAGAGTGTTTGTGTGAATTGTGCTGTCTGCAAACAAGTTTGCCCCTGTGACATGTTGATAAATGGTCTGGAAAACAAAACTTTATAGTGAGAGATTATGAAACTAATATTCTTGTTCCTTATAGGGGATGTCTCTTACAGTAAGTGTCTGTAGTAAGGATCTGCTTTCATTATGACCTCAGCAGCAGTTTCCTTTATTCAATAAGAAAACCTATTGTTATAATATTATGGAAGAAATATTATCAATAAAACAAAGTAGGGGGAAAAGTATAGGGATAGTTTCATACAGGTTTAAAACAATTTGAAGGTGAGTAAATGATGACAGAATTTAAATTTTGGGTGAACTATCCCTTTAAGACGAAATACAAAAAAAAAAATAGTTTACTGTGGTACATTTCCCAGTAAAAATCTCTTGCTAAAATACCGTAGTATTTCAGTTTTTACCATAATAATACAGTTATTGTTAATAGTGTAAAAATATAATAAATGTGTATATATACACATATACACACACACATCATTTATATATATTTTGTATTTACAAACATTTATTAAAATATATAAAGCCTGAGTATTCCTTCCAAAATAATCGATTTTGTCATTACGACTTATATTATCAGCATAACAATTTGATCATAAGTAATTTGCTTGCATTTGATTATTATTGACCTAGAAATAGTGGAAAATGTTTTTTTATTCATTTTATATCATATTCATAGCCTTTTTTGTTTATCTCTTGGTGTAAATGTAAAAAATCCCAGATTTTCAATGTGGTCTCACACCTTTGGACCACAAAACAAACCAAAAAAATCCCAGACTGAAACAGAATTTCCCTTTTCTACCCGATCTTAATCTTTTTTTGTGTGTGTGTGTGTGTTTGTGTGCGTGCGTGCGTGTGTGTGTGTGTGTGTGTGTGTGTGTGTGTGTGTGTGTGTGTGTGTGTGTGTGTGTGTGTGTGTGTGTGTGTGTGTGTGTGTGTGTGTGTGTGTGTGTGTGTGTGTGTGTGTGTGTGTGTGTGTGTGTGTGTGTGTGTGTGTGTGTTATTACAAACTGTGACTGTGTGATAAAACTAGCGAGAACTAAACCAAACTTGTGGAAACGGAGATCCATATTTCATCAAACCAAGCTTGGGAGCTTATGCTGTGGATTGTTCCAACCGCTTTCAAAGTTTTTAAATAAACTCTTTCCTACATGGAAAAACCAGGCTGCTGATTTCCAGCTGCAGCAGTGTAAGCAAAAAAAGAGCTTCTTGTGAATCTGCATGTCATTCACAGCTAATTAATAATACAGCAACGTCTGTTGTACAACAAACGCAGCCACGCCCGTTACACACACACACACACACACAGTGGCTTACGCTTCGTAAACCTGCACTCTGGTACCGAGATGTGACACAGATTTTCCAGAAACAGCTTTTGTTGTGCACCCGCTAGCATCCCTCACACACACTAAACCTCAGAGAGCACAGATGGTAATTATGTGTCACTGGTTGCATTAGCAGAGGCTGCTGAAGTGGAATGGAGGGCTATTACCATCTCAGCCCTCAAGTTATATATAATATAAATAGATGTTGGAGACTCTTTTTCATTGAACCTGCTATGATTCAACACCCACCTTTTCAAACTGCCTGTTTAGAATAGGCAGATCTGCTCAGATCGTATTGAATGTTCCTGTTTCCATCAGACTCTTGCATTTTTAATGCGTCTCTTTGTCACGTACAGTATAGAGCACGGTGATTGTTGCATCCTCCTGTCATAATGGGTCAAGAAGACATCAGGGCAGTGGCTGTGAGCAATGCAAAAGCACAAAAAGGCAAAAAGTGGGTCATACTGACTGCTGTGCTGTGTACCTCGTATATCCATGATCGCCAGCAGAAAACAGGCTGCTTTACTTTAATCTGTGTGCGTGTCTGTGTGTGTGTATATATATATATATATATATATATATATAAACAAACTTTTATGTTAGATGCAATTAATCGATTTGACAGCACTAGTTAAAACACTGCCTAAAATGCAGCTATAATGGTTTTATAAACGTACCATGTTAATGCTGTGTTTTTGGACATAATAATAAAAAAATAATCATGTTACCCTAGAATAAAATACATTGCATATGAATATAGCCATTTTTATTTATTTTGTTATAGGTGCTGGCACGTTATGTCGAAATTACTGTTATTACAAGATTCCGACTTGTAAAAAGCACATAATTACAACATGTAAACCAGGAGTTTTTTGAGAGATCCTAATTGTACCGCCTTATGTGCATATTCATTTCTGAATAGGGCATAAATTAAAAAGAATATCAGGATGATACAACAGTCCTCCTGATATCATAATGAAGACAAAAGAATGACATTCTTGAAAATAACATCACATTGATTGACATCACATTTTATTATTTTTTAATACATATTTTTAAGTAAAACTTGAAATGAATACACTTTTGTTTATGACAAGGCAAGTGTAGTTTAAAATATCATGTGTGTGATTGCTCAAAAATGTTATATTTATGAATTAAAAGTCTGATATAAAAAAAAAAAAAAACATTCTACCTTAAATATATATATATATATATATATATATATATATACTGTTTTTTGTATGCAAGGTGTAGGGAAAATATGTTATTACCTTTTACCTGGTGGTTACACCACATGACGTTTTCAAAATTAAGTCATTAAAATCATTATTAAATTGAAACTCCTTGAAATTGGTATACATGTTTGGTAACACTTTATTTAACAGTGTCATTGTTACACATGTTACATGTAGTTACTATATTAATAACTATAAATTATGCATAATTACACACAACTAACCCTAAACCAAACCCTAACCCTATAGTAAGGACATGTAGTTAATTAATATTACTCAGTACTTAAATGTACTGAGTTACTTTCCTGTAGCTCAAACAGTAGAGTGTTGGCGCTTGCAACGCTAAGGCCATGGGTTCGATTCCCAGGGAAATCAAGAACTGATAAGAATGCAAAATGCGCACCTTGAAATGCAATGTAAGTCGCTTTGGATAAAAGTGTCTGCCAAATGCATAAATGTAAAATTACACAGTAACAAAGACAACTTAAAATAAAGTGTAACCAAAACCATATGAACACGATACAAATACAAAGAGTACTTTATTAAGAACTCGGCACGTGTATTTTCAACAAGATTTTTTTTTTTTTTTTTCTTATCATTGAGAGTGACACGCTTATTTGTCACTGACCCATTAGCAAATCTACTATGTTATCATAACACTTGGAGTTATAAGTGCACTGACAGCTTTACACTTGCATGGTGGTCTCTTTCCCTTCCCCCTCGCACAAGTAAACAGATTTGTGCTACGCAGGCATTAGTTCAGAGGTCATCAGAGCAGGAAACCAGGACACAACAGTCTTAGATGAAAGTATGTGTTTTTTATTATTTCTGGAGTAGAAATATGTACCAGAGAGATTATGTTGGCCTACAAAACCATTTCCTCTGCTAGTATGACATTTGCAAACCGTATTGATTGATGTCCTTTTCAAATATAAATAAATGAATAAAGTCCAGTGGAGGCATGCGCTCATGCGTTGTGTGATGTGGTGTTAATATCTGCCGTGTGTGTGTGTTCGTGAGGGCCAGAGTCACTGTGAGGGTCCTTGTTTGCTGTGTTCATAGTGGGAATTACCATGGCAACTGCACTAGCAGCGCAGTGTGAAGTGGAGAGGGAGCGCTCGAGTGTGTGAGAGTGAGGAAAGAGGGTGTCATCAACAGTGAGACACAAAGAAAATGAGAAAAGTAAAATCCATCACAAGAAGGAAAGACAGAAAATGTGATGACAGATATCAGCATTTAACAAGTTTAATGTCACAGTACCAATTACTTCCTCAACTGTGTCGTTTGTAATCGTCTGGTAAGTGGTTTATTCATCAGTACTGTCAGGCAGTCACTTCAGGAGTGCAGAGCATGAAGAGTTAACCGTGAAATGAAAAGAGATTGAGAATAAAAGAAGGGAGGAGTGTGTGTACGTGAGCGTGAGCGTGCACTGAGCATGCTCCTCCTGCAGGCTGTCTGTGCCCTGTGCTAACTTCCTGTGCTATATCTCTTCCTCAACAGACCGGCTGATTCAGAAGGAGAGAACAGCAGACTGGAGCACTCTCATGTTGACTCCGGGAATTTAGCCGAGGCAAAAGACGACGGAAGACAAGCCCTCAGGATTACGATATCTTGAGCCTGATTCATTTTTTTACCAACTTCCTAGTTGTCTTTAAACGCCCCGTTTTTAATTGACAGTATCTGTCAGTTTTGTAGTACGTAACAAATTTTTGGGTGCAACGATTTGTTTTTGTTTCCAGATTAACATTTACAAGAAGATTGTTGGAGAGTAAGGACTTTGCTCCCATCCCTTTTTTTTACTCTATTTGTCTAGTTTCTCTTTCTGTTTATTGTTTAAACACGACTCCCTGTTACACGTAAGAGGAAGATATTACTTCATTCATGGAATTCTCCCAACGGGGAAACTAACTGGGATTTGTTGAGACATTGACAAACATTCTTTTGTGTATCTGGAGTGTACGTGTTCTTGAGGTTTTGGCCTTCATTGAGATCATTCCGTGGAAGGAACCAAGGCGCATCACGAGAACACCTCTAACCCAAGCTCGCTGACCTCTCTAAGGACTCAATTGGGAGAACATTACAAGGTTGTTCTTGGGCAATGGGATCTGAAAAGGACTCTGAATCCCCCCACTCCTCTGTTAGTGGCATTCCCAATCCGAAATGCCGTGGGCCGGGCAAGAAGCAAGGCAGGATCTCTTTTCATAGTCTCTTCCATGGCAAACGTGGATCCAGGGGGAACAAGGCTAATGTGGGCACTCCTCTTGCGCAACAGCTACACCAACAGCAACAACTCCAGCAACAGCAGCTTCTCCAGCCTCCCACACCCACAAATGTGTCGTCAGACCCATCTATGGCAGACCCGGCTGAGGCTTTATCCACTAGCCAGGCCTCTTTGGGAGGTCAAGAACTCCTAGAGTGTCCCTTGTGCCTGGTGCGTCAACCTGCGGAGCAGCTTCCTGAGCTCCAGGGATGCAGCCATCGGTCTTGCCTGTGCTGTCTAAGGCAGTACTTTCGTATCGAGATTACGGAGAGCCGTGTGCAGCTCAGCTGTCCAGAGTGTGCCGAGCGACTTGCCCCACGGCAGGTGGCCCTCATCTTGGACGATCCCAACCTGATGGACAAGTATGAAGAGTTCCTGCTGCGCCGCTGCCTGGCATCGGACCCTGATTGCCGATGGTGTCCTGCTCCCGACTGCGGGTAAGATTGGGATGGGGTTGGGATGTCAGGGAGTCGTAAAAGATACACAATACCCTGTTTGTTTTGAATAGGAGGTGTTGTTTCAAAATGGCCAAAGCTTGTGTACCCTGAGTTTGGCAAGATTCCTAAATTCCAGTGAAGATGTGTCATGCAAAATACAGTGATGTTCTAGAGAATTGTGGTTGTGGCAACAGTTTGGGGAGGGCCATTTCGGTTTCACTATGATTATTCCCCTGTGCACAAAGTGAGGTCATTATTGAAATGATTTACTATAATGTAGTAATATTATAGAAATGATGTGGTAGAACTTGACTAGCCTAAAGCCCAGATATGTGATGAATTGAATCCAAAGGTGACGTTTTGAATTGAAAGTTGGTAGGGACATATTGCAAGGAGGCAGGGGACAAACCTAAGATTATAATTCATAAAATATATAATAAATATATTTTTTTTTTAATCGATTAGACATAATTAAATTCCCTCAATTCACAATTCTCATTTCCTATTTTCTTTGACACTTAATATCAGCTATGACTCCTGACTTTCTGATATCTAGGTGACTTCACTATGAATCCTTCCATTCCCAGATAGCAAACAGTCATTGAAACTATGTTAAATCAACATTCCGTTGTCAACATTAAGTCATTGAATCAACATCGAACTCTGATGTTGATTCTACATCATTTTGCACCCTGTTTTAATATTGAAACAACGTTGAAATCCTGTCCATAGATCAACGGAATTTCAATGGTATTTCAATTATCAGGAATATTGAAACAATGTTGAAATTTCAACTGAACTAAGGATCAACGTAATTTCAATGGAATTTCAATCGTTTTTAAATGTTAATTTTAAATGTAATGCCATAAATTAAATAGCCTGCTTTATCTACAGCTGGTTGTCAAAAAGTAATGAAACATTTGAAATCTTGTACTGAACACACCACACAAACAAATTCATTTTTATTAGTCTTTTTATTTAAATATTTGTACTCTTTATTTACACTTCAATGTCCTCTGACGCCTGAATATTTTGTCGTCCAGTCCCTCCTGCCCGGTCTGGCACATGTGAATTGGGTGAAGGCGGCTGTCCCCATCTGCTGAGTAAGAGCACCTAAAACAGAAAATAAAATCACAATACAAAAAAATTAGCATTTAAGTTAAACAGGAGATTATATTTATTTGTATTGGTACATTCGTGCCGCGAGATGAAGTATGTAACGTGGGGCTAAGCCCTTCCAAGTCCCCCCTTGACGCCAGGCCTGATTGTCAGGCGCTATAACAGTGCGCGCAAAAATCGTGATATCAGTACATTCATATTTTGGATTTGTATTACGACGAGATGGTCTAATCGGCATTCCCAGTTACAACTCGAGACAGTTCTGCATTGAATAAAGTAAAGTACCGGTAAGTCTTCTGTGTAATTCTGGCCCGCCGCGGTCACTTCTGTGGGTAGCGCTAGGTGGAGCACTGCTAGCGTTGGTTCCGCCGGTGTTCTCCGGCGGTCAGAAGAAATAGATTTCAAAACAGAATCCAATCAGATTTCACGACACAAGCAATGGGTATAGGCTACAGACATTTATTTTGAGCTAAATATCCCAAAAATAGACTGGACTCTGAGGTTTTGCTAACTTTATAACCTAGAAGAGAACTACAAAGTAGGCCTAGCCTACTTTTGGCAGATTTTTACACAGTGGTAAAACAAAAATATATTTCAGTGACTGCAGCACTGCGTCGGTTACTAACGTTACACTATAACCATCATGTTAACGACCAGCCTAACAGTATTGATTTGGTACAATTCATTCATATCAAACATTAAGCAAGCTTACCTTTACGCTTGTGCCAGGTCCAGAAATGAGCTGTGTCCGGTAACGTTACGTTGGTATAACACCCGTTGATCTCCCGGTCAACCAAAAATCTATTGATTTTCAATCATATTTCCCGGTCAACTACATATCGATGCATTTTCAATCATATGTCCCCCTCAACTATATGTCGATGACTTTTCAACAACAGCGTCGTTTCCCGGTCAACTATAAATCAATGACTTTTCAACACATTCAGCGATCGCCCGGTAAACCAAATATCAATGCTTAATCAATCATAAAGATAACTATAGATCAATGTTGTTCCAATATCGTTGCCATCAACATTAATAACATCGGGTTTTCATCGACAGGGTAATGGTGATTCAACATTAATTTTGCATTGAAATTTCAATATCAACCATAATGATGATTCAGATGGAAAAACAATGTTTATTCAATGTTGGCTTGCTGTCTGGGTTATTTTAATGTATGCCCTGATTACAGCTGTCACACTCCATTTCACTCATTTGAATGCTTTTAGTTTCAGTGAAATCATAAAACAATATGCAACCTAATCTGCTACCCTAACTGATATGCATCTTCTGAAAATCAGTTGCTATTTTATATAGTGATTCATCAAAATTTCGCCAACCTAAAATATAGTATTGGAGGACCGAAATCATTGACAGAAACCGTTTAATTAGTATTTCTCCGATGATATGTTTTGTGTTTCAGCATCTGTTTCATGTACATGTGCATATATTTTAGTACATATATGTTAGCAGTGTGGACACAAAAAATGCCGTTAGAGCAGCAATATGTAAACATTTTCAGCTGAAATAAAAAGAGGAGGCTCATTGCGCAAGAACTTTAATTTATCACGAGAACACGACACCCTGAACAGCATAGCGAGTTAAGTTACCTAATTACCCAAATGTAATTACTGAAACTTTATTTTCCGTTTCGTTTTTTGGGTAAATGAAAACTTTAATTTCGCTTTCGGTGTTTCAGTAAAAAAAAAAAATCACGTTGGAAACTTAGCACATCAGTAAGTGTAAACTTGTTTATTTATTTATAAAAATAAAAAAAAAATTGCGCAAACTTGTGCTTTCTGGCACTGAAGGCAAGAGACACTACTCTGAGTCACTCATGTTTGGAGTCCAAGACTGAAATCCGAGAATCGCCCCTGACGTAAGCATCCATTGAGCAATGAGAATTTCAGAGAGGCGGCTCCAGCTCTCGATATCAGCCTACCACAGCTCTTCCCTCAGCTCTACCCTCAAAACAGAGCTTACGCATTCATATCCGTCAAACACTCTCTAGTGTGTTGGCATCCTAAAATTACCCAAACGTTGGTTGAGAGATTTTTCGCCCAGTATACTCCTGTGTGTGAATGGGAACAAATCCAGCAATGTTCCAACATCTACTGAGAAACCGTCCCAAGAGAATGGAAGCTATTAGGAAGAACCAATTCTTTATTAAAGCCAACGGTTTTGAAATTGCTCAACAAGGGTGTGGTATTCTGGCATACAAATACTTTAAGGCCATATAGTGTTTAAATGCTATAACACTATACAAAAGATATGTAATGCAGATGGATTCGATAGAAGTAAGGGGACATATTTCACAGTTTCGCTTGTTCTGTGAGCTTCAGCAATAAGTGTAGGAGGCACTTGGACAGTTATAGGGAACACTTGCGCTTATGTGGGAAGCCTAGTTTAGCTGATGTGTCATTCTGTGCGACTGTGATTTACTTCAGAGGCCTTTTACAACCTGTCCTAGGTTTGTCAATCATAATGGTGTGCTGGTGACCCACATTTAAGGGACATGATTCTTTTTGCGTCACTGCCACTTCCTATAAGGCCAACGGCTGATACTGAGGGGTTTTCAGATGGCCTGGGAATTTTTCAAAAAAGGCCATTTTGTCCATTAGACATCACAATATTGGCTGGTTAGTAAGTTGCATTATGTAGGGTTGTGAAAAAAGTGTGACTTTTTTTGCTGCAGGATACATTAAGGTTCACCAAGATGTTTCGTTTGCCTCTTTTTAGACTAACTAGGAATCTCCCACCCTAGACAATACAAGCACACTCTTTTCTGTTCATTCATTCTCAGAAACTGAAGGAAAAGCTCCCCCTGTAGATTTTGCTGCCTGAGTGTCAGTTCCAGTCCATGGTGCTGTTTATTACCCATCAGCCCCCCAACCAGCTCTGCTTCAGCTAGATTGAAAGTCCAGAGCAGCCAATGGGAGAAAGGAATGGCTTGTTTCTCTCTCCCTCAGTCATATGTTGCGATGGCAACTTAGATGCGGCACAGAGGTAGAGTTGCTATGGGTAACCGAGGCTGGTATTTGATTAAGAGAATCATTGGCTACTCACTTGACCGTGTGTGCATGCCACGGTGTCTTTGTGAGAACTCAAAATAGAGTGTTGATTTCATTGTCTTCAATCCTAGTGCGTGTTCTGGGATACCATAATCATGTGTAATGAGGTCTGTTTCGGCTTGACTCTACATGTAGGGTGTGTGTGTGTGTGTGTGCCAGTACGTGCAGGTAATTGGAAGCTCTTTGTGTAGGACATTACAGTTCTCCATTGCAGCTGAGTGGATTAATGAGGTGTCAGCTGGAGGAGGAATGTTTTCTTCAGAACCTGCTTTAGCTTCAGCCTACAGGCCAAAACTTGCACTTAAAATTAAAGGCATTGTTTTTGTCACGCATAAGCGAAAGCTAGACAAGGAAGCTGGAGTCAAGTTTTATTTTACCTTGAATCGGCCTGATCTATTGCCACTGTTTATTCAGTCATAAAATCAACAAAAAAAGTGATTTCTTTAAAGATTTAAAGTCAAGGTTTTTTATTATTTAATAATATGTTTATCAGTGTGTTTACCTGTGTCGTTTTTTTAAGGTCTAAAGTAAAATTTGGCAAAAAAAAAAAAAAAAAAAAGTAATGTTCCTAGGAAAGGAATAAAATGCAACTGGAATACTTGGAAACTCCCTCAGCTGGAACATACTGACTGTGCAATAAATCCTCCCTTTCATTTTCCATAATGTAGTAGTGTCTGTACATGCTAATGTTTTCCTTGACTTTAAAAGGAATTTGACATTACAAAGAATCTGAGTACTAGGGAACACACTGATATCCTAGTGTATGTGATTACTTTGGGGGGTTTGTCAAAAGGAAAAATTAAGGTCATTTATATAATTGCATTCTATGGAAGCTTGTTTCCGCCACTGAATAAAAAATAAAAAAGGTAATTGCGAATGTTTATCTCACAATTCTGACTTTTTTCTCACAATTGCGAGTTTACATCTCGCAATTCTTACTTATTTTCCCAGAATTGCATGATATAAAGTTGCAGTTGTGTTGTAATGTCAGAATTGCGTGTTATAGTTACAAATACATTTTAGAATGTCAGAATTGCGCGATATAAAGTCAAAATTGCATGTTATGATGTCAGAATTGCGTGATACAAAGTCACAATTGCATGTTATAATGTCAGAATTGCGTGAAACAAAGTCACAATTGCATGTTATAATGTCAGAATTGCGTGATACAAAGTCACAATTGCATGTTATAATGTCAGAATTGCGTGATATAAAGTCACACTTGCGTGTTATGTCAGAATTATGAGATTTAAACAATTTTAAGCAAGCAATTCTGTGGGGGGGGGGAAGTCAGTCTGCAATTCTGACTTTATAACATGCCATTGCGACTTTATATTATGCAATTCTGACTTTATATCTCACAATTGCGAGTTTATATAATGCAATTCTGAGAAAAAAAAGTCAGAATTGGGAGTTTATATCATGCAAACTTGCAATTGTAAACTCGCAATTGTGAGAATTGCACGATATAAAGTCAAAATTGCATTTTATAATGTCAGAATTGCGTGATACAAAGACACAATTGCATGTTATAATGTCAGAATTGCGTGATATAAAGTCACACTTGCGTGTTATGTCAGAATTATGAGATTTAAACAATTTTAAACAAGCAATTCTGTGGGGGGAAAAAGTCAGTCTGCAATTCTGACTTTATAACATGCCATTGCGACTTTATATTATGCAATTCTGACTTTATATCTCACAATTGCGAGTTTATATGATGCACTTCTGAGAAAAAAGTCAGAATTGCGAGTTTATATCAGGCAATTCTGAGAAAAAAAAGTCAGAATTGGGAGTTTATATCATGCAATCTTGCAATTGTAAAGTCGCAATTGTGAGAAAAAAAGTCGCAATTATCTTTTACATTTCATTTTTCCATGGCGGAAACAAGCTTATGTTGCAATCTTATCAAGAGTTGTTCTCTATGTTTGTGCTGATGGTGTAATAAAAAAAACAAGATCTGTGAAGTCTGAGATCTTGTTCCACATATTCACATGGTCCACATATTCCTCAGCTACATTTACAGAAAATACCATGATATTACTATAATTTTGGATACTACCATGATGCTATTTTTAAAGTACTATGGAAATACCATACTATTACAGTCTGATACCATCTCTGTAGCATGTACTTCTGTGTTAGAGCAATTGCACAAAACTAGGTATAATGATATCTCATGTTACCTAAATCATAGATTCTCTAGGAGAGTAAGTTGACCTGTTTGCCTTGTTCCCCTGCCAGTTTTGCAGTCATCGCCTCTGGATGTGCCAGCTGCCCCAGGCTGGTGTGTCGAAGAGAAGGGTGTGGTGCTGAGTTCTGTTACCACTGCAAGCAAGCTTGGCATCCTAACCAGACCTGTGACTCTGCCCGCCAGCAGAGGGCGCTGTCCTTGAGAACACACAGTAACCATTCACCCAGCTACACGGCTGAGCAGGGACACAGTGAGTATTCAACCATCAGTCCACCATCTTCTTTCTCATAAACTTACAGTGAAGGGGAGAATCAAGCCATATCTCAAGACTGTAATATCAGAGATTTGGAGTTAGTCTCTTTTTACCTGGGCTAGGAGGCAACCACCTAGCAACGCCCTAGAAACCACCCAGATCCCCCTAGTAACCACCTAGAAGCCTCCCAGAAACCACCCTGATCACCTTAGCAACCACCTAGTAACAAAAAACACGTAGTAACTGCATAGCAATGCTCTAGTAACCTTTTAAAACACCCTAGCTACAACCTAGTGATGTCTTAGAAACCACCCAAAGTACCCTTGCTAGAAACCACCTAGTAGTGCTCTAGAAATCATTAGGACTTCCTAACCAACCACCTAACAACAAAAATACTCAGAACAAATTAGCAAATGCAAAGTAAAGCCCTGGTAACCACACATAATTGCTAATCAAACAACGTCCTAAAAACCACCCAGATAACCCTTGCAACTTCCTAAAAAACACCTAGAAGTCCCCTAGAAACCACCCTGATCACCTTAGCAACCACCTAGCCACAAAAAACACTCCAATCATGTTAGTAACTGCATAGCAATGTCCTGGTAACCACTTAGATTACCCTAGTTACAACCTAGTGATGTCTTAGAAACCATCCAAAACACCCTAGCAACCACATAGTAGTGCCCTCAAAACCACCAGGATTTCCTTAGCAATCACATAGCAACAAAAAACACTGAGAACAACTTAGCAAATGCATAGCAAAGCCCTGGTAACCACCCAGAATTGTCAAGCAACAACCTAGTAAAGTCATAGAAATCACCCAGAACACTCTAGCAACCACATAACTGTGCCCCTAAAAACCTAGCAACAAAAACACTGAGAAGCCCTTAGTAACTGTACAGCAATGCCCTGGTAACCAACCAGAGCACCCTAGCAACCACATAGTAATATTCTAATCTAGACACCGCCTTGAATATTGTAACATTCAATCTGCAGCTCCTTAGAAGCCACCCAGCTCACCTTAGCAACCCGCGGCGCTAGTGACAAAAAAAAAAAAAAAAAAACTCAGAACACCTCAGCAACTGCATAGCAAGATTATTGAGGTTTCTCTTTCCCTAAATGACTGTGCTCTCTCCTCCTTCTCGCTAGTTTTTCTCTAACCTCCTGAATTAAAGCCGGAGTCTGCTAACCTCTCTCTCCCCGCTCTTATTCCCATCTGACATTCAGAAAACGCTTCCTCAGCTCTTACTGTTTACAGCAGATTCTGTTTGCCTGTACAAATTCTAAATCCCAACCCTTTAATCCCCACTCAGCTGATGACATCAAGCCTTGCCCCCGATGCGGTGCCTACATCATCAAGATGAACGACGGCAGCTGTAATCACATGACCTGTGCTGTGTGCGGCTGTGAGTTCTGCTGGCTCTGTATGAAGGAGATTTCAGACCTGCACTACCTCAGGTACCTTTTGCTAGTTATATCAGTGGGAATTGATCAAACTACTTGCTCGAATCTAAAAATAATAATTATATATGGTGTCTTCTCAGTCCATCAGGTTGTACATTCTGGGGAAAGAAGCCATGGAGTCGCAAAAAGAAGATTCTGTGGCAGCTGGGCACTTTGATTGGTGCACCGGTGGGCATCACTCTAATCGCTGGCATCGCAGTTCCTGCTATGGTTATCGGCATTCCCGTTTACATTGGACGCAAGGTGCGCTATCCCAACATCCCATCTTTCCCCGCAGCGCTACAGTTTAGATGTTAACAAAGCCTTTATCAGCTGCTATCAGGAACAGAATTTCCTTAAAAAGCCTGGGAATTTCCCTCTCTTCTCACACGTTGCTCAACCAGCTTAACCGCGTTTGATATCGCCATAATTCTGGTACAATGACTTCCTGCTGAAAAATACAGAGGACATATTAGATTTGATTCAGATTTTGAAGCTTTAGGATCAGATCTTTTATTTTAGCAGATAAAAGCTCATTTGTGTCAGTTCGATAACAGCTGCTGTTTGTCACAGATCCACGCGCACTATGAGGGCAAGAAAACGTCACATCACAGGAGGAATCTCGCCATTACTGGTGGTGTGGCTCTGTCAATCATCACAGCTCCAGTCATCGCTGCTGTCAGTGTGGGTGAGTATTCCTGAAAACAGTTACATTCATAACGTTTAAAAGTTTGGGATCAGTACTTTAAAAAAAAAAAAATTATTAAAGAAATGAATACTTTTATTCAGCAAGGATGCATTAAATTGATCAAAAGTGACCGTAAAGACTTTTACATGGTTACAAAAGAACTTTTTATTCATCAAATAATCCTGAATTTTTTTTTATTACAGTTACCACAAAAGTATTGAAACTGTTTTCAACTGTGATAATAATAAGAAATATTTCTTGAGCAGAAAATCAGCATATTAGTTTAAATTCATCCTTATCGGTTGGTAATGTTAGACGTTTTGTAATAAAAAAGTTACTTTTTTAGTGCAGATTTTTTTTTTTAAAGGGATATGTTCCTCTTCCTCGTGTTATTCTAGACACGTTTGACTTTCTTTCTTCTGTTTAGAGAATATATTAGCCACGTTCACAAATCAGACTGATCCGTTTCTCTCAAGTTCAACTCACTGACTAACAGCAAATTATTAACGGATATAAATTTCCATCTGTTCATCACACAAAGCTATTATATGGCTTCAGAAGACATGGAAAATAACTCGTTGTACATTGTATAGACTGCTTATATGACATTTTATGATACTCTTTTGATGCTTCCTTCTGTTCCTACCCTCCTATCTAAAGGTTGTACGCTTCAGTTCCCATTGATTGTAATGGACTCTATTGCCGATCGCTTCTGCATTTAGCCTCAGAGGCAACCGCAACTTCCAGTGCAGCACAGTGTATGGAAAATATGAGAAAATGTAATCTAGAGGAAGTGTCACACAAAAGAACAGAGCGATATATTTAAAGCTTGTGAAACTCATTATTGAATCATTAAGTATTGATCAAAAGACTGTAAAAAAGATGGATAACTTGTCTCTACTCTCCACTGTAGAAAAGTGAAGCCACAATATCCCACAATAAGCCGATTTCGTTGTTGGGAAAATGAACACTTGAACACCTAGCTTGAATGCTTGAACTTCAGCGTGATAAGAACTACCTAAAATGACCTAAATTAAAAATATCGGAATAAATATGTTTCAAGTGGAATTTAATTTTTCTTAGTTTGGCTCGCATCCCATTCGATTACATGGAGAGGGCGGGGTTTATGACCTATACTGCAACCAGCCATCAGGGGGCGATCAAAGTGTTTTGGCTTCGCTTTTCAGGACATGTGCAGCACACTTGGTTTTATTGTACTAAAATGTTATATTTACTATAGTTATATATGAGGAGCTCTTTTCCAAAACGCGATAAATCCATTTCAATAGTTTTCAGGGAAAAAATTTTTTTTACCTAGACCCACACAGTTTTTGTGAATATTCAATTTAGCCTGTTAAAATGTTTTTTCCCTTCAGTCTGAACATGTTGAACAATGATTATTAAATCAAACAACAATATTGTTGATGATAAATTCAAAGTAATTTTTTTTTTTTCAAAACGCTATAAATCCACACACAAAAAAATCCAAAAATGGATGATTTTGGCCAATTAATTAAGTTTTGTTTTGTAGAAAGCCTTTCTTTAAAGTGAATTTCGTTTTGTATAAATTGTATCTTAATTTTAATAATTTTTTCATCAACCAATTGCCTGGATTTAATAAATAAGAAGCAAATAGACAATATAATCATGACATGGAGGTGCATTGCACGTGAACAGGAGCGCATCTCCACATAAATTAACCGAAATTCAGCGTATGCCTCACAGAGTCATGAGAAATATATCTATATAGAAAGCTTGAAATGTCTTTAAACGAAACAATTAAAAACGAAAATAAATAGCATACTCTCTGATTATGTAATCCATTACATGCATTTCTCTCTAGGCGCGTTCACTACAGAGATGCTGATCGTCAATTTCATCTTTGCAGACACTGACACACAGAAAACAGTTGATTAATAAAAATAAAATAAAAATTTCGATTTTCGAACGATATTCGACTTTTGCTCCTTGATTGTCGAATGCCATTTTTGGCAGAAATTATAAACGGAAACCTTTGGCAGGTGTAGGTCTCACTGGCTCATCAAGGCCATCAAAAGTGTTATCACCGTTTAAAGCACTCATTTTGAGGAATGAATGAACATAAACAAACCTCTGTTCAGCGCCGAAGTTGGATTGCATAAAAGGCTCACTGAATTTTGATTTGTCGAGAGAGGATTTATCGCGTTTAGGCTAAAAATAGGTTTGGCGCTTATCGCGGTTTGGAAAAGAACTGCATCTTGCAGTACATTTTAAACAAGGAAATATAGCGATTTGGCATGAAACATTGGTGGAGCAGTGAATAGGTTCAGAACACAGCAAAATGACATAACAAACAAATTTTTTTTAAATGGCGTTTATCGCGTTTTGGAAAAGAGCTCCTCATATAGTATTATACTGTATAAAATACACTATATCATAATGTAATTAGTTGTGAACGACAGTTATTAGAAATATGACAGAAAGGGTTTGCTACTACCACAGTTTGCTATGGGAAAATAGCAGCGGAAATACTTTGTCCATTACGTTGAAAATAATTGCTAGTATCAGATTTTCTCATCAACTCTCGCTTTAACTCAAATCCCAAAGTTTGACTACAGCTCCATATCTGTGTCTCTTCCCTACAGGCATTGGTGTCCCCATCATGTTGGCGTATGTGTATGGTGTTGTGCCTATCTCTCTGTGCCGGGGCGGGGGCTGTGGGGTGAGCCGGGGGAAAGGTCGCGGTGTTAGGATAGACTTTGATGATGATGACGGGCCTATTACAGGTAAGAAAAAGAGGATTGATCAAGTGATATCATCTGGGTAAAACCTATTCAGTGTATTGAACCATCAACCGGACACTTTCTCTCTGTAGTTGCTGATGCTTGGCGAGCGCTGAAGTCTCCAAGCCTGGGCGAGAGCAGTTTGGAGGGAGGAGCCAGCGGCCTCAGTACCACCTCTCCAAGCGAGGGCCTATCCGTCGCCCCAGGGGGTCTGGGAGACACGCCACACTTCAACACACTAGCAGGAGGAGCACTCGGTGCGAGGACAGGAAAATACAGCAGGTTTGTGGGTATTCAGGGCACGCTGGGTTATTCTGTGTACTGTATGGTAAATATAGAAGAGCTGCACTGTAAATATGGGTAGTGTTCTTGTTTTCATGGAAACATGTTTATGTTTTAGGCTGGAGGTGCAGGGGACAGAGCTGGGAAAGGAAAGTGCCGGCAGGGAGACGGGCAGCTTGGGAGCAGCCAGTGACTGTGCCAGCACAAGGGGCATGGCAGGATCTATCACTTCCTCTTACACCTTACCTGACAGGTGTGAACGTCACTCTGAATAATCACATCTGCATGACTAATAAATGTACACTACCGGTCAAAAGTTTGGGGTCAGTAAAATTGTAGGTTGGTGTAAGATGTCTCTTCTGCTGACCAAAGCTGCATTTTTTTTTTTAAATACAGTAAAAACTATAATATTGTTAAATATTATTATAATTCAAAAAAAAAAACTTTTAAGTCATTTAAAGCTGAATTTTCAGCATCATTACTCTTTAGTGTCACATGATCCTTCACAAATCATTCTAATATGCTGATTTGCTGTTCAAGAAACATTCTTATTATTAATGTTGAAGACAGTTGTGCTGCTTAATATTTATGTGGAAACCGTGATGCATTTTGTTCAGGATACTTTGATGGATAGAAAGTTCAAAAGAACTGCATTTATTTGAAAGAAATTTTATTTTATTTTTTTCTTACCGACCCCAAACTTTTTAACAGTAGTGTGTATCAGTACCGCAATGGTTATCAGCCAATATTAGAGATTGAAAATTATAATAATAATAATAATATTTATATACTTTATCAATATTGGTCAATATTAGATTTTTAATAGTTCGTATTGATTTCCCTTATTTTTACATTTAGATTACCTTTGCTGTCATCTAATGCTCACTTAAAGTGGATATTCGAAACACGAATAAATTAACTGTTAAATATAATATTTAGCAAATCTAAAAATGAATATCCATTTTTCATACTGTACCTTATAATGTTGTTGTGATGCCTAGATACATTCATAGCGTCTACAATTATTTTAGTTTTTGATTTAGACTAAATATTATACAATTTAAACTGGCTTTAACATGAAAATAATTATCGGCTTATCAGTACCAACCAGTATTTTAATATTGGTGCATCCATAAGATAAATATGAAATAGTAGCAGCTTTGATAAATTCTCCTGTAAATGAGAATATGACACTTCATCTCACCTTTTCTATGACCTGTTGTGTTTCAGAGAGGGCACTAACCTTGAGATCCAGGTGGACATCGAAACTAAACCGAGCCATCTGTGTCTAACCACTGAAGAGGATCTGGCTCCGCCCACTGTTGCCATGGTGCCCGGCTCGGGGGAGGAGCCTCAGGACTGCAGTTCCCGCAGGACCGGGGTTGTCCTGGATTCCCCTCTGGGCCTGTCGCCAAGAATGTCACTCAGGGAGGGTCTCCGAGACGTCACCCTCGCTCAGCCGGAGAGCATCCGCAGCGACCTGGAGATGTCCGACACGCAGTCAGACGACATCGCGGAGCTCACGTCCGACGACTGCGACTCGCCCCGTCCCAAGAGCTGCCCCCCCGCCCCCCCGCCGCAGACCACCTGCAGAGCCTTGAACCCCACCGACAGCCTGCACTGTCCCGACAATGTCATTCTTTACGTGTGAGAGAGACTCTCGCCATTGCACAAAGCCAACCATTTCTGAGCTTTTGACTTGTTAATGCTTTACCTGTTATTTTGCTGCTTTTTATAATTATTAAAAACTCCTTACTTGCATCCAGACAAGTCATGGAACTGACAGCTCATCGCTCTGCTCTCCTGTCCCGTCTCTTAATTACGGGCACGGACAGGTCCTCTACCTCTTCAGAAATTCATACTGTTATTCATTAGTTGGTGTTTACTTCTCGATGGAGCAATGCCTTGAGCAACAACAAAAATAACTCGGTACCATCGTGGCCAGAAGAATTTCCTTAGATAACAAACAAACAGACAAATAATGCTACAAAGTGAAATGTCGCCAAGCACATGTATACGTGAGTGGTTTGTATGTGGATGACACATGACAGTATTGTTTGTATGTTTGTTAAATCGACCTGGAAATTGTATGATTTTTTGCATGCGCTGCGCTAGTATTGTTTCGGTCACGTTTGCACAGAAGAACACACACTTCAGAGTGAGAGAGATCAGTATGGAGTAAGGTCAGTCTGAACTTCACTAGCAGACAGTTTGACTTGAATCACTGACTGCCTGCCTTACAGACCGAGCACATGCTCTCAGATCCCTTACACTGTCTGTGACTCACTGACTACACTGTTTGTGCCCTCTTGAGCTGAGCTGAGAGACATATGTATGTGTGGATCATGTTTACCAGTGTTGATTTTATTGCTGGGTATTAAATCAAATAGTATATCAAGGATGGAACTGACATTCACATGCATGTCTGTTGTTATTAATGTTATTATTTGATTATGTTTTTTGGCCTATTTTATCTCTTTCTTAAGCACATGGCTTTTCAAGCGTTTCGTTTTGCGCAATTGCAGTTATATTTTTTTCAGTTTGTTTTGCCCGCTAGCTGGACGGATGGATGGAGAGAGATGGGTTGGTTGGATGGATGAGCACTCCTGCACTTTATCCAACTATTTATCATTGTTCTACATTGTAGGCTTATATTTATGCACTCCCTTTTTTTTTTCTTTGGATTTCAGCTTCTCTGGGAAATGTTTGAATGCCGTAGTTATGATTTTGTTATTTAATTTTGGATGTGATGAAATGTTGTCATTTTGTTTTGCATTCTTAACATGCTATGCTTTCTGAATCTCATAATTATATTTGGCCGCAGAGAGAATCCTCGGTTTGTACATGTAATGACGGATTAGCTTTGTCTTGTAATCACAAAAAAATGGATTTGTGGTTGTCACATATTTTGCTCTCTTTTTTTTTTTTTTTTTGGTTGTGTGAAGATGCGTTTATATTTTTAGGTTTATGAGCAGATTCTGAAAACTACTTGATAATTTGACTATAAACTGGTTATTGTGAAATGAGTGTTAACAACTAAATTCAGTTACATAAGCAATATGCTAAAGATAAGGTGTGTTCAATCTGGCGTTGTTTTGTACATCCCCACAAAGATAACTGCACTGGCTGTGAGTGTTTGAAACAACATAAAAAAATTAAACATTTCCTTCTTTGTGGCAAATTTTGTAACTGTAATTGTGGTATGTTCAAACTGTGAGTAGAAAGCCTGCAGGCCTAATCATCAAACCTATGCTCTCAAAACATAGGAGTCTCATTTTTGGATTAAAGACTGAAAAACTTTGTAAAATTAATCCGAGATACAATATATTGCTTAATTCATCTGTAAATATTGTAAGTTGGAGTTATATTCACCTTAGGTACATTGTTAATTACATTGTTAAAATCTTACAACACATTTTAAAGGTTCAGTGCAAGGTTATTAAGTAAAACTAAAATATTAAAACTTAAACTAAATGAAAAAGAGACAAAAAAGACGGAAAATAAACTGAAATAAGTAGAAGCACTAAAATCACTAACTGGAAATAAATAACAACTAAAACTTAAATAAAATAAAATCTAAATAGTAGAAGAGTGAAGAGTGACAAGCACATACCAAAATTACTAAAGTTAAAAATTAAAGCTAAAATGAAAACTATATATAAACTATACTATAAATATATATTTATTTATTTATTATTTTTTAAGCATGAACCAGTGTTATATTAATATTTACTACTAATAAAATAACACTGGTTCATGCTTCAATTGAAAATACCAAAAATATGCCAACACTGCCCTCTACTGTGCGTGTGCAACATTGACGTCAGAGTGTTTGCAGCAGTGGCGTAAAGAAGCAGCGTCTGATTTACGGCAGCGGGCAGGTCGTGAGTGAACTGTGGGCCTGAGGAAGGTTAAAGTGACTCTGAACTGAACGGTCAGTGTTTGCATTTACAATTTGAGAGCTTTTGTATCTTATATGTGACGTTTATATATATACCAGCTCTAATGTAAACATTTTGCTGTACATGCATTACATTAGAATAAACACATTTGGCTGTATCGTTATCTGGCCTGCCGTTAAGCTAGCAAGTTAGCCAACAGCAAGACGACGATTACCAATACAGCTTGTTTATTCTACACTGATAAAGTAAACAAGTGCAAATGTTAAATATAATATTAACCAATTGCATGATCTGACAGATCGCTTGTTGTTTTTAACGCCAGCTTATTAATGTCCCGTTACATAAACATTAACTAGGTCGTTCAACAACTCTATTTAATAGCTTAAACGTTTATATTAGTTGAAAGCATAATATGTATCTGAAGGCACATAGCTGTAATACAATAATTTAGGCATGTCCGCTGTAAACACAATAATAAACAAGTTTTGGAGATACTCAGTAGTTGCATATAACCACTTTTTGTTTTACTTAAAGCCAAGTCAAAATTGACCATTCTTTATTTTTTATGGGATATTGCAGGATTTCTTATTTATGATTTATCCTTGAAAAGCATATTAATATATGTGCCCTCGTAATCTTTAATCAAAATAACTTCCCCTCTCTCTTAAAATGACGTCTCTTCTCTGATGACGTGTTTACTGGCACGAGGGCGGGGCAAACTGTCAATCACTTGAGAGCAGCAATACCAAACCACTACGATCCAATCAGTTCCTGCCCAACATTTTTCCTTGTTAAGAAGCTGTTTCACTCAGATGACACCGTCACAATTGGGAAGAAAAGACTATCGCAACTTCTGTTTCACGCTGACTTTAGTGCCTGAAAATCCCAGAAATATATAAACATTGAGGTGTGATTTATTAGAACAAAAGTGAACAACTGCTTTGTTAATTGTTTTTAGGCATGATGCATTATTTTTACATAGAATATTTCTATTCATTTCCTAGAATCATGCCGTTCATTGACCTCCAGACAAAGCTCGGGATTAATCTGGACCAGTGGCTCTTGGCTCAGAGTGGGGAACAGCCACAGAAGCGGGCCGCTCGCTGTCATGCCTTCGAGAAGGAGTGGATAGAGTGCTCCCACGGCATCGGCCAGAACCGGGCCAAAAAGGAGTGCAAGCTGGAGTTGGAAGACTTCTATGAGTGCTTGCACCACCAAAAGACTGTAAGTAAATTCTGAAATTTTCAAGTAATGTATTTGAGGTTGTTCACAATCACATTACTAACATAATTATCACTCCTTACAGCATGAGCGCTTATATGAGATCCGTAAGCAGAAGAAGAAGATGATTAAAGAGGGAACTTATACTCCCCCTCTGCACCACACAGGCAGTGAAGATGCCCGGCCGTGAATTCAGCAACCCCAGACTGAATATACAATCACTCGCAACACAGTCAAACTGTTGTACAGTTAATTTCTTGCTCATGTATTATAATATTGCTGTATCAACATTGTTTAATGTCTAAGAAATAAATATAATGATTCCATTGATGTTGTCTATAATATATGTTATATTTAGGGTAAATATGCAATACAATTCTTAAAGGGATTGTTTAGCCAAAACTGAAAACTCTTGTCATCCTTTATTCACCCATATGTCTCTCCAAACCTGTATGGCATTCTTTCTTCTGTGAAACATTAAAGAAGACATTGTCAGATATATTGTTCTTCCATACAATGGAAAGTCAATGGTCACTAAAACTGATTGGTTATCATATCCTTGGGAATGTATCTACTTCATTAAATAATTTAGTTATATATATATATATATATATAATTTAGTTTTAGATATAGTGGGGTGGGGGAACTGAAATATGATTTCAGTTTAGATCTAGATTTTATGTTTTTGAATTTAGAATGTGTGTATATATATATATACACACACACACATGATTATGGTGAGTATATTATGGTTTTAAAAATGTGAACATTATTTTAATATTAGTAATTCGTTCATCCTGTGCTCCCCTATAAGTTTCTGAGGCCCTCTGGTTCAGAACCACTGATATAATACATTAAACTTGAATTCATTCTTCATGTAGTGTGAAACCGTCTGATTATCTATATTGTACTGTGGTACAGTTTATTCAATCTGTCTTTGAGCCTGAATTGAATTCAACTGAAGCTTCCCACGGGACAGCATCCAAATGAAAGCTTAATATGAATGCATCAATCCATTTGACATCCCAATTACATCACTAAGCCAATCCTGACAAGATTAGTTATTTGGTATGTTGGTCAGTGGGTGGCAGTAACAAACCACTATTTTTGAGCTTCAATTTCCTTAAATTGTTGATTTAAACTAATAAATGAAGCATCAATATATGATGCTCCAGATAAATTACTTTTATATTACTGTGACTTTTATTCAAAGCCTAAGCAATCGAATGGGAATAATTGGGTGAGCAATGAGCATGGTTCATAAACTGCTTGAATAATTGATAATTGAATGAGTATGGTTCATAAATTGCTAGATATTTCTGTTGAGACGCTTAGAACAGCTCTGTCTGAGCAAAGTTCAGATGTAAAGTCGGGTACGAGTGGGATGAAGACGTGCAGACCATCACATGGGTTCAATTTAGCCTGTTTAAGGTTAAAAGCTGGCTTTATACAAAATGTCACTGATCTAGTCCATTTTATATGTTGTTTGGCTTCACGTGATGACAATCTTTCTAGAGTTCAAATTTGGCAAAGTTGTCCACAGGATGTCCACTGTATTTTTAGCAGGGCTGTGATGTTTTGTTTGATCAGTCCAGCAGCAGCAGTTAATCCTTCACTGTCACACTGAATCACACTGCAGCTCACTGAGGACACACTGATTCTTGACCACAGATTCATTATGGATTATACTTTTATTATTTTGGTAACACTTTACAATATGGTTCATATTAACTACTTAGATAAGATGAGCTAAGAATTAATAGTTCTACAGCATTTATTTATTTATGTTAATTTCTACATTTACTAATACATTATTAAAATCAAAAGCTGTATTTTGTTAACAGTGTTCATGTTATATGAAATAACATGAAAGACTGTATTTTGTATTAACTAACATTAACAAAGAACAAATGCACTGCTCATTGTTATTTCATGTTTCATGTTAGTTAATACTAGTGTTAACAAATGAAACCTCATTGTAAAGTGTTACCATTATTTTTATGTTTTGGCCACATTTAACAAGTGATTTAACTACGTTCTAATCTGGTTTGCTGTTTTAGCTGGTCTTGCAACCAGTATAAGCTCTTCTTCATCTGATCTAGTTGGTCAGACCACAAGAAGAAAGAAAAAATACCTTTTACCAAAAAAACGTCTTAGACTGGTTTAGATTCTTATTTTTCAAGTGTGATACATAACGTTTGTTATATTCCAAAAACACATTTAAAATTGTCTTTGCATCCTATGTAACAAGAATTTAGATGCAATGTGAAGCATCATTTTCCCTGTAGTTATAGGATACTAAAATACAGAGATTATTAGATTGAAATGGGAATTTTGATTGAATATATTAGACTTGGTCTTGTGGTTTTCATAATGCCTATAATAAAGTATTATTAAAATCATCATCCTCATTAAAAAGGGGTTTGTTTGAACTGATGGGACTTTTGATTGAATTTATTAGACTTGGTCTTATGATTTTCATATAATGTCTGTAATAAAGTATTATTAAAATCATCATCATCATCATTAAAAGAGGGTTGGGCTTAAGGGTGGATGAGAAAGGAGAGAGTGAGGAAGAGGAGGAGGGGGCTGGAGAAAGAGAGAGCGGGAGAGAAGGAGGGATATGAAAGGAGGGGAATAGACAGCCATTACCGAATCACAGTCTCCATTCTGCTCCTCTGTCTACCGGGTCGGTGCGAAACGGACCGAGAGTCAGTTTTTCCCTGGCCGGCTGAGAGGCGTGTTTGTCAGGATTGAGAGCAGCGCATCCCCGCCTCTGTCACCCTGCGTGCGGTAACGGGCTCTGCCGTTATACGGTAAGAAGGTCCAAATGTCCGTCTTTATTCTGTCCGACAGCCTCGGGGTGTGTGTGTCTGATAATAATCGTTTTTTACACATGTGGGTCACCATCTTAGCTTTAGTTTGTGCTTTAACGTCTCATTACTAAACGCTGAAATATAATGTAAAAAAAAAAACTAGATTTTCTTCAAGCATCCTCATTTCCATTTAATAACCGAGCATCGGAAGTGCTTTTCTCTCTTTCTCTAGAGAGCGAACCGATGTGTTAATTTCTCTCGGTTATTAATTACAGATAAAGGTGATGCTTTATTCATTTCACGCCTGCATGAATGGATCTTTATATAGCCCGTTATTCAGTGTGTTTGGACAAAGAGGCTCTGCACACCTCTGTGGTCACTCTCCTCGGTTTTCGCCACATTACAATCTCTGATGTGTGAACGAATCGTTCTTGAGAGTCGGATCTTTCGTAGTGAACATGGTGGTTAGAGTAAATTAACTTTAATAATGTACCACATTTTATTTAGATTGAACAAACTGATTTGTGAGCTGAATCCTGGATGCAACACACTATTACGTCATGACCTAAAAGCGCAGCTGAATTCGATTCATTGAAGGACCGATTCGCGAAATGTGTCGGGTTTTCCATCACTATATGCAGTAGTGCTGGAAGCCTACGTGTTGAATGAAGGGGCGTTCCTAGGCAAATATTTATGGATCCATGCACATGTCTTTCCCTTCAATTGTGAATATTCATTCATTGATCTCTTCCAGGGATGACAGAGAGAAGTGAACAAAAGGCTTGTGGTCAATAAGTTTACATAATCACATGCATTCCTGGTCTAAAATGTGAAACCACAAGGTTGAGTGGGTAAAGGCTATTTCTAACAGCCTCCACAGATGGCTTTCTGCCTTGTGCTCCTGTAGAAGATGCACATAGGCTACACCATGTTTGCCTGCTGTGTGTGTGTGTGTGTGTGTGTAGCCATTCTGCTCATTTGCATCACCTCATTTACAAATTTAGAAGTTATGTGTTAAGTCTATGGTACCGCGTGATCCGGGGCACCACTACCTCTTGCAGTTTCTGTGATGTCCAAATAACAATAAATTACATGACGTCACAGCTGCAACAAGTCAGAAAGTTGCAATTACGACATTAAAGCTTTTTAGAGGCACTGATAATATCTCTAATTTCTTCATTTACATCACATTATGGCTATATACTAGCACACATTGCGCTGTTCGTATAACATCAGTTTTACATCTCGAGGTTCCTGACAGTTAGAGGCCTCGGGCACTGGCCCCATTGGCCTGGTTTGTAATCCATCCTTGATCTGATCAAATGGGGCTTATTGTAGCTACTGCCCTTGGCAAACATGCAAAACCACAAAAAAATAGGACAAATAGTCTCTGTGATTGCGGCCTGTCTTGTAATTTCTTTAATCGAGCTGATCATATATTTTACCCAGTGATCAAAATGCGTCTATCCTTGCAAGCAGGTTTCACTTTGCATTTGTCTGTCTCTGGTGTTGGAGATGTTTCCAGGTCAGAACTGTTCAAATAGATCAGTTAGTTCTCAACTGGTGGGTCGTCGTGACCCAAAAAAGGGCAACAGGTCTTTTCTGTGGACAGCTGGGGAAAACAAAACTATAACAAAATGAGTCTACACTCCTTAAAATAAAGGTTCTTTATCGAGGGGTTCCATTAAGAATCTTTTACAGCATGGAATCAAAGGGTTCTTTATAGTGGAAAAAGATTCTTCAGATTATTCAAATGTTCTTCACACTAAGAAAAAATGGTTCTTTTAAGAAATAGTCACCGAAAGGTTCTTTGGTAAACCAAAAATGTTTTTTCCATGGCATCACTGTGAAAACCCGCTTTTTGGAACTTTTATTTTTAAAAGTTTATATGAAAAAACTAACATATATAGCAACAACACAGACTACATTAAATATGGGTTCACTTGCAACAAGAATAAACATAGTTTTTTTTTTATAAACATGTAATTTGTGGTAAATTAATACATTTTAATGATTGTTTTAAGGATATTTTTGTTGTCGCTACTTAACATCCAATGTAAAATATGTGTGCTGAAGCATAATTAATTGTGAGCCCCTAATACTATATAAAGGCATAAACTGATGCTCTAACATACAGCTTGACCGCATGCATTACGCCCAGATTAAATGTCACGTTTTCTGTAAGAACTAATACCTAAATGGCCACAATGCTCTGAATAATGCAAAGCCATAGTTCATTGCTATGATAAGATCCCCTCCTCCATTAATGTTCCCAGCAAGTTTCATTATTGAGTGAGTGTGTCTATAGTGATGTGTTAGTGTTACTCATAGCAGATGCTTCTTTCCTCATTAGTGAGTGCACATGAGCATATCTTTGCACACATTGTATAAACACCAGCAAGAGAACAAATGCCACCAACCTCTGTTCCACAAACGTATAATTTCTCTCGAAGGGAAATGGAGCAGTGGCGCAATATTAAAGCTGTTCTTGTGGGAAGCCCGACTCTTGG